AATTGATCAATTTTTAACCCTGGGTCCTACGACTTATATATTTTCTAGTTGTGTTTCTGAATTTTCACCCTTCCATATTTTAATCAATTCTATTATTATTATATTTTTTTTTAATTCAGTGGCGCCCTTACCATTTTGTACTGAATAAACTATCAACCCACACCCACAAATAATAATTTTTCGCTGAGCAAACCGAGCATATTATGGGCCTCTTGTTAATTCATTAACAAAAGTTTTAATAGGGCTCTGATTTAAAGTTTATATCGTATTAGTTCATTTTGCAATTAGCAGAGTTTCATAAAATGCCTCAGAAAAGAACTCAACTAGGATCAAAACTCGAGCCATATTGTGCTTATGAAAATTAAACATGAAATATTCCACCAGAGGTGAAACTTCTAGGCACATTAAAACTTAAAGCAGGTGTATGAACCGTATAATCGCTAGCTAACCGGTGCTAGCTCAACTTTTCGGCTCATGGAAACTCTATAAATAAAATTCGTAGCTGGCAAATAATCTATTTTCGTTTCTGACGCAGTTTAAAGTTTCTAAAGTGAACCCCCGTAGAGACACGTGAATCAATTTTGACGCATGAATGAGAAAGTTTTCCATAAATTGTTTTGGTGATTATAGGTAACGTGGCTCCCTATTAAGATGTTGATAATATATTCAGATAAAGGAATCAGATTTAAATGTTTGCACTTGGGCATGGAGCCAATATTTTCATGAAAATTGGCTCGATTTTTTTTTTTTTTTAGAGAAAATTCGTTTTAAGTAATTATGCCCTTGCAGCTCAATACCGAAATCCCATTAAGTTCCATTAGGCTCACAAGGAGACTAATTAAAATTTACCGTCGAAAATAAAGGAGCGCGAAACAATTTCCTGGCTGCATTTAAAATTAGGTCCTTTTAGAGAACAGAATACTTTATATTGTTTAGTTTTTTTATTTTAAAACTAGGAGGATTTAAGGAAAATTATTCCAAGCTTATGTAAGGGTTATTGAGCTATAATTTTTTTTCATTAATAGCAAAAAACTTTTTCTCTAGAGTCTATTCGACTGCTTAAATTTGCGACTTTTATTTTCTGGCTTAATGTTTTTCATGGTAATTTGAAAACCTTTTATCTTTTTTTTTTCGGTCGTAATCGATAATAGAAGGTATTATATTACTTTTACAAGATTTTCTGTCAGCTGAAAGTGTTTTTGAGATCTGTAACAGATACTTTACAAACTTCTCTTAATTTCCAGACGAAAAGGGCATCAGCCCCTATGTGGTTAGGACAAGTGAAATGTGCATTATTTATAATCATTTTTTCATTTCAACAGTTCCTTTTAAATATCAATAACCTCTTCAATCCAATCCAAACTTTTTCTATGCTCCTTTTCAGAAGTCAATTCGAATTGTTAACTGTATAATTTTGTTGGCATACAATCTCCATTATTGAATTTTTTGAAAACTCCTCGCCAATATCGCTCTAATTCCCTAAATTTCTTGTTCTCTATCATAATCAATTTTCAATATCTCAATCTGAGTTTTAGAACGTTTTTTCTTCGTTGTCCGACACCTAATTTCCATTCTCTTCTATCGTCGCAATCCTTTGATGGGAGATTTCTTTCATTCATGGACTTTTGTATGGTCTTCTTCTGCCATTCCAATTTTGGTCTTCATCGTTTTCTTCTACCTGTTAGTTGCCAATGCATAATTTTTCTGGGCCACCTGGTATTTGGAATTCATTCTACGTCTCCGTACCAGGTAAGTTGTTTCCTTTCAATGGTCTTGAACTATCGTGCCTTCTATTCCCATTTGTGGTTTTATATTGTCGTTCCTTATTCTTTCTCTTCGTTAGATTCGCATGGATCTTCTAGTAGCATCCATTTCAACTCCTTCTACTTCTTTTTTTGTCTGTCTGTAATTCTCAAAGTCTTGGCTCCATATATAAGGGTGGTCTTTATCATTGTCTCGTATGTATTGAATTTTCTCTTCTTGTTATTTCCTTAAGCATCCTATTACTTTCTTAGTTTCAACTATTCGCTTTTCTATTTCTTTCACATCTTTTCCCGTGTTGTCGAATGTACGTAGATACTCATATGCCTGACATTGCAGAATTTCCTGACCATCGTCCACTTTCAAGGTTCTGAGTGTTCTGAGTGCCTACACATAGATATTTTGTTTTATTTATATTAATTCTCAGGCCCCATTCTTGGTACCTACCCTTCAATCAGCTTTCTAATCATATATTGCATGTCCTTTTTGTCACTGGCCACTATGACCTAATCATCTGCAAACTGAAGAGTGAACAGGCACCTTTATTATTTATCTCTAGACCCATTTCATGGATCTTCCTCTTCCAATTTTTTAGTGCTACTGCTAGTATATTTTGAAAATCGTAGGAGAGATACTGTTACCACCACCACTGATTACGACGGTTGGGTAAGAGAGACTTTGTTTTAGCACTGGTAAAGGCATTTTTGTACTGCGGTAGGGTGCCACCATGGACTTTGTTTAAAGTCCTACTGAAAATCTAGGTATTTTTGAACGGATACTTTTTAGTAATCTGATTAGATTGCCTCTTCCAGTACGGGTTCTTGCTACCTGAGCTGTACGCAGTTAGTTGGAATGCTAGCTTGGGGTTTTCCAAAGAAAATAATCAGTTTTTCTTACTAAACTCTAACAATGGTTATTGAACAAATGGTGAGGAAATGAAAGAAAAGCAAAGAATATACAGTAGGTTATTAACAATGTTTACTGGAATGAAATGAAAGGAAATACATATGGAGATTTGGAATGATAGGGAGTGAAATCATTGAATGAGCATCCTGTATAGGGCGTTCCTTGATAGTACAAGTTACATCAGAATTTAAGGATAAAAAGATACAGAAAATAAAAACTAGGTTATAATTCTTAATGGGTAAAAGTCACGGGCGTACTCGACAAGGGAATGACAAAACGGACTTGTTATTCAGGGTAAGACACATGTTGGAAAAGAGATTTGAGTTGTGAAGCTAACCCAATGGTTTTGTTCTTTACATAGGGGAGAAAATAAATAATAGACAGAAAACAACAATCATGATGAATAAATTAAAATACTTGGAATTGAAACATTACCTAAGGTCTCGGAAAGGGAGTCAGCAGAAATACGTCAACACTAAACACCAGAACTTCGTTACAGAACTGAATGGCTGATTTATATTGGCAGCTTGATGACGCTTTTGGGATTATTATCGGTTGCAAAACACGCGGCTTCTTCATGGAACCAGGAGTCGAGAGTCGTATTTTAAGACACAATCAGGACAGTGTTCCGGGATCCGACTGATAACCCTTGGCTCTTGACACGGTTTCGTCAGAAATTTAGCGACCTAATCTCGCTGGGGAAAAAAAACCGATTAATTGTATTACGAAGTGTAAAAAAAAAGGATTTTTGGGCCGTTTTGTTACAATACAACATCCTTGACGTAGTCCTTTATTCACTATAAATATGTCTATCTTAATTCTTGATTTTGAGTTTTTATATAGTTCTTTAAGTGCCGTGTGATTGATATTGGATTGTTATAATTCGTTCCATAGTCTGGATACTGGGACTGTATCGTATGCTTTTTGTGGGACCACAAATGTGAGGTGGGCTTCCAAATGTCTAGCAGATCTCTTTTCTATGATTTGTTTTAGACAAAATACATTGTATGTGCCTGATCTTCCGCACTGCTCTTCTTCTTCTTTCTCTTTATAATCTTACTTGATGAGATCACGCAGGATTCTACCGTATAGTCTGCTTAGTGTGCTTGTGACTGAAATGCCGCAATGCTTATTTCCTTTTTTTTGTGAATGGATGATATAAAGGCCGCTTTCCAGTCTTGTGGAACAGGATGTCCATTTAGGCATTTATTGATAATACGTGTGACACCTTTAAAGAGCTTCTCAGTTCCCCGTTTCAGCATTTCGGACTATATCTCTTCTGAGCCGCTAGGTTTACCAGACTTAAGATTCTCAACAGTCGTTTTAACTGTTTCTTCAGATACCAACTATTTTTACATACATGTCTTGGAGAATCTAATATATGTATATTCCAGTCTACTTTCTTGTTATATACCCTTGTAATGTTCTATCCATTGCTCTGGTTTGATTGCCCAGATATTAGCTCTGTCCTTTTCTGGATTTTTGACATTCGATATAGATCTCCATACCTCTGAGCATTTCCTTCCTCCTATGAAGGTGTTAATTTCTTCACATTTCTTATCCCATGACTCATTCTCAGCTATATGTAATGATGCACGTTCTCAGTTTTCTTTTTGTGGCTTTATAAACTTCAAGGTATTGTTTATTTCAGATATTTTTGCTTCTTCTCTTGGACTAATAGCTCTATCTCCTCGGGTGGCTTCTATTAGATTTCTTATAATGTTCTCATAGAGTTTATTGAAGGTACATTCTTCAGGGTTCAATAGTTTACTGTCGAGTCGCCTCTGAAACAGAAAAAACAGTGCTTTCTTCTCTAAAACTGTCAAAATTGTATTTTGTTGTATCCAGTATGGCATTGGTGTTTTGTTCCTCCGGGTTCTTATTCATTTTCCTAAGATACTTTACCTCCTCTTCAGAATCAATTTATCTTATGACATTGCTTCTATCCATACATTTTCATCTTTTCTATCAGTCTAATCTCATACTGCCTTGGGTACATCTTCAACATGATGATATTGCATCAAAAGCCATATTCTTTATTTCAAATTCACTGCATTTGGTAGGTCATTTATTTCTCTTTTTTTTTTGTTCTATTTGTCATCTTTCATCGTGTATTTGTTTCTCTTCTTCTTGTTTTTCATCTGTATTCCTTCATTTCTATAATAAAAATAGAAAAAAGGTATCATTCAACTATCAGTTATGAAAATCATGTTTCTTATAGTTCATAAGATAGCTCAGAATAACAACACTGATTTTCTATTGATTCTAGGAGCAAATTGCCTAAAAGAAAACTAATTTTTTGTATGACTTTCCAACTAATTTTTCTTTTTAAGAAACAACGCAGGGAGTTGGGACTAAAACGATTTTGGTCAGCGGTAAAAACGTCTAACAGCAGCAGTTCGCAGGGAGATCACGATTCGCCTCCCGAGGATGCAAAACGTGGCCCCAATTGCTCGTTACCTTTGTTACAGGTAAGTGAAACAAATATTTACGGTAACTTAAGTAAATTAAGGCGCCTATTTCAAGAGATTGTATTATTTCGCCCAGAGTGTCTTGTAAATATTAATCTACTGCTTTGAAGCGTCGAAAGATCCTTTTGAATTTTTCAATATGCGTGTCTAGACGAACTTAAGCGATTTCAGCGAATTAGTTTTTTAACCCTATAAAAAGGCTACTTCCAGTCACACTTCTGACCCCATTACTCATAAAATATCGCGTTTTTGTCGCAACCCCAACTAGTTTTTAAGTTATGGCCCTACAGGGACCTGCTAGTTTTTTTTTTTGCCCAGGCCCAACACTTTCGTTCCCCAAAGACTCAAACAAAAATGCCCAATATTTATTTCAAAAGTTTCCCTTTGTAATATTGTCCCAATAAAATTTAACACGTGAAAGTTCAAAGGTTTTGCTTTTGACGCAACCGCCTTTTGAAAACTCCGGATGGGGCGCTTTAGGGGATTAAGCTTTGTGTGTTTCTGATGTTTGCTAGGATATACATTGCATTTTGAGATAATGCATTCGAAATAGAACAAGTCAAAAGAATTGTCAGAGATAGTAAAATATTTTGCTGCATAAGAGTTTTTATAATTTTCGAAAGTATGATATCCAGTTAGTTCAGTGTTCATTATACAGATGCAAAATTTTATATGTATAGCTCAACAGTTTTAAAAGTTACCTCGGAAGTTATATTTTTATTTAGAAAGCATTCTCTTAAAGTTTAGAGGACTTCCAAGGAACAATGCTAACTTCCCGTCCAAAAATAAAACACAATGCATTTCGAGCACGAAAATATGCAAACTGACTTTTCGCTTGATTGTTTCAAGGGTTCACTTCGAAATTATTATGAAAAGTTTAAGCTCAAATAAATAGGTTTGCTGCATTGGAACAGACGTCGCCCATTGTCTGCTGGCCTTGTTTTTAGTTAATAAAACTAACTTGTTCATTATCGTGTTTTCCGTTCTTGTTCCCTGTAGGATGTAGGCTAATCCATCCGGAATAAGCGACGAAAATTATTAAACTACAGAATTTTTAGGTGTAGTTAAAGTCAAGGTAATATAGAAAAGATAAATAATAATGAACATTTTATGAATTATGACGCTATCAGCTTTCTTGTTTAAAGCAAAACGTGTAAAGGTTGCTTATTTATAGCATATCGTGTCCCTTGTTTTCCTACTTTGCCCTCTTAACGCACGTGTCAACCCTCCATCCTTCGGACACTCTCCATTTAATCTCTGGTAATAAATGGTTTCATTAGGCATATTAGAATTTAAACCTTAGATAAGTATTAGGGCGAAGATTCATTTTTGTGGTATTGGAGAGAATTTCCAGTAAAATAATTTAAGTTGCATTAAATGGCAGAGTGTAATATGGACGGACAAATGTCTTAATAATTCTTCACTGTCCCAATAAATTTCATCTTTGTAAATAAATTTTAAAAGTTCAATTTTCTTTCTGGTAGTTTCAACTTAATAGATGTATCTTGCTCTCCATCACAGTATTATATCTTTTAGGATAAAATCCAACGATTAAATATTATCCATTCATCAATAATTCAGTAATATAATGATAAATCGTCGAATTCAGATTGCATCTAATCGTAATTAATTGCAGGTATGGCCGAGTTCGGATTCGCCACGAGGCGAAGCTGACGGGCAAAGTTTCGTGTTTCCCGAATTCGCCGACGACAACGTTTCGCAACACTCCACTTGTCTGGATGCCATCCATCACACGGATTCGGGCATTGAATCTACGCAAGTAAGTAGTTGTCGCTAATAAATCTTTTCGGGGAGTTTAAGTCAGCTTTACGTCACTTGTATTTGTTCGAGTTTGTTTTGGATTTACTGGAAGACCAATTTAAGATAGATTTAGATGTTGGTTTATACATATATTTTACCTTTTACCACGTAAACATTTTCAGCAAAAAGTGTATCATATACACTCAAATTGCTAACTACAAAAGGTACACACTCTTGTAGTTTGGGATTTGAAATACTACGTTGATGAGAAGTTCATGCTAAAAATAATGTAATGTTATTTGCAAATGCAGTCCACTGAAAGAATTCATTTGAATGAACATATTTCATTTTGGCAAACACAAAAATGTGAATAATACGATAACAAAGCTCGTGTTTTACATCATTGTTTGCCAAATCAAATGTTTCGTTTGAATTTTCGGATACAATGGTGTTTTTTTTTTTTGCAGGCGCTATTCTCGAGTAATTTTGATTTCATGTAAACTTGACCTATTTGGACCAATTTGTGATTCATTAATTATAATATTTACTTATATCTAAATAGCATCAAGAAAACTCTTTCATATTTTACCGCTTCTTATAAATAAACCTTCATTAAACTCACTTCCAAACGTTCAATAATCCTATTTTAAGATATTTTTAATTTATATTAATTAACGTCTGTAATGTGAAGCCTACTTTAATCATAAAAGCGACATGTGTAAAAAGTTTTTCAATATTATTTAATCAATGTTTTCAAATTAAAACAAATCCACATAATATGTGAGCTCAAAATCAATTACCTCCATAAGCAATAACTAGCTAAATTAAAGTTAACTTTTTTATATTAAAACAAAAACCAGTCAATTGCAAATATACGCCAAATCGATTTCACCCAGCCACATTCCAGTTCAAACGGATTAAATTTCAATATTTGTGTTTGCTTACCATATCGCCAATTCGAAATTACTGTTCTATTATTCCGAACACCGCAAAGCTGCAAAGAGTGGCTTCATACAGTCTGAACAGGATTAAATGATGTTGATTCGAACATAAAAATGAAACATAAAACTTCGTTTGAGCCTAAAGCACGTTTTCGGCTTTCAAAAAAAAAAAAATGCAAATTTGAAATTTAATGAATATTACCGTTAACATCCGATCTAGTTATTTGCCAGCGGCGCCTGGTGGTTTTACTCATTGTGGCGAAAATTCAATTTTAACTTTTAAACTCGATTAATCTGCCTACTGTCACTTTCTGCCTAAAGTTTTCTAGTTTAATGGAAATTAACTGGACTTTTTTTTCACTGGTGTACATAATTTTTAGGAAGAATAACATAATATCATCATTATTATCGAGAAATTTTTTTTTTTGATGAGAAAATTTTGGATTGATTTTCTCCGCTTTTCTAAATTACAGCAAAAATTGCTGTTTAATATTGAATCCTCCTTGTCTTAGATGGCGCCACGATCAAATTTCGACCGTCGTATCATTATTATCTATACAATGAATTGTGCCAATGATTATTGGATTGGTAAATTACGGTTTATCATTATGTTAAATTGTGTTATTGTCTCATTGTTTGATATGTTAATAATGCTGGTATAGTGTTTGACGGGTGAATTATTTGGGTTGATTGATTTTCCATTATTGCGTGAGCTGTGTTGCAATTCAACTAAATAAGTGTAGAGTTCAAGTGAGTCTTGAGCCAAGAATTTTAAGTCATTCAATGTCTTGACTCGAGAACCTTTAGTGTGGAGTCTTGACTTCATGGTTTATCTGTATTTGGTTAGGAGTTTTCAATTTTAAGTTCTGAGTCTTTTGATATCCTCAGTCAATAAGTTTTGGTATGGACTCTTCTTCAGAGCTATCAAAATATAAGAAAACCTACTTTTTTGATGCGAAAAATGTTTAGTCTTAAGCTTTCATCAAGGAGCTTCAGTATTGATTACACACTTGAGAAGAGGTCATCCTTAGCTCGTCATCCAGCCTAGCGATTCAACGGCGATGACGTCGCTGATTAGCCTAATCTGGCTCTACGTACCGGCAAAAGAGCAGTGCAGTCAGTGTAGTCTCCTCTACTTGATTACAAGCCCTACACAAGAGTGTGGTACTGAGATGCAACCTAAACAAATGCTTGTTTAACTGACAGTGGCCAGTCAAAATGCCCGTTATAAGGCGTAGCCTTTTCCTGGTCAACGACAGCTTTTGGCTCGTTGCAGCTTCATCTGAATAGCTTAGCAGTTCTTGGATAAATTGCAGCCAATCGTATCGTCCCAGCGCTTTTTGAAAAGGGTATGGGAGCGTTTTTTTATCATAACTTTGGATGCCGACATGGTCAGCCCCATGAAGGGCTCCGTTCCAGAAGGCTCTAGCCTAGCAGACCCCCTGGCTAGAGCATCGGCTGCCCGATTGCTGTGATCATGTTCTTTGATTCAGCCGTATAGTTGATCGACGCCTCTGTGAGTGTACTTCTGCACTTGGTTCTATTCCAATAGTGCGGAAGTGCATCATTGTGGTTAAAACGACCTCCTTGACAGGGGCGTCAAACATAGAATTACTTCCAAAGCTCTAGTTGGTGTGGTTTTCATTGCATCAGTTCTGTTGATGCATGTCATTCTTTGAACGTGGTCTTGTTTTCGGCTTATAGTAGTCTGTTTGGCCTTATGTCCCTAGACAATAGCCCCATAGGTCTGATGATGGTTGTGTAGATCCACATAACTATTTTGGGGGAGAACCCCCAGGTCTTCCCAATAGTACGTCTACACCTCTGGTCTACACTGTTCATAGGCGATTTATGCTCTATATTCTCTTAACAATATAAAAGTTCCATGTTAGTTTGCAATCGAGTGTCACTCCTAGATATTTGACCTCGACGGCAAAACTTAGTTCGGTGTTTAAGAGTCTGGGTGCTGTCGGAAGTACCAGTTTCCTCTCTCTTGTGAATAGGACCATTTCAGTCTTTTTGCGGTTGATGGCGAGTATGTATTCTCGAATTTACCTCTATGCAAGATGACTATGTCATCTGCGTAAGCTATTGTGTAGTAGTTGTCATTGCTTAGGCGAACAATGACGCTGTCCAGAACCATGTTCCACAGGAGAGGTGATAGCACACCTCCCTGCGGGCAGCCTCCTGCGACGATTCCTTAAATGTTGACGTTTTGCACACTTATTTATACAATTCTTTTGGAAAGCATATTGAATATCCATCCGGTAACAGTTTCCGGAGTATTCCTTTCTGTTAGCGAGTGGCTATCTTTTTGAAAGGTGGTTTTGTCGAAGGCCCCCTCAATATCGATGAAAACCCCGAGAGTGGACTCTCTGTTGTCCAGCGATTTTTCCACTCGCCCGGCAACCAGGTAGAGGGCTGTGTTCGTTGATCTCCCGGGGGTATATGCGTTTTGATTAGGGTGGAGTGGATTGGTTGACAACACTTCATCCCTTATGTACCTTTCGTATAGCCTTTCCATTGTTTTTAGAGAAAATGATGAGAGGCTAATGGGGCGATATGCTTCGGGAGCTGGTGGAGTCCATCCTCCCTGATTTAGGTAGGAAAACCATTTTAGCTTCTCTCCAAGCCTTGGGTATGTATCTCCTGAACATCCCTACCAGGTGCGGGAAAAGTGGCACCAGACCCCACTGAAGTAGGGCTGGATAGATGCCCTCAGGTCCTGGTACTTTGAAGGCGGAGAAGCCTGAGATTGCCCAACCTATTTTTTCTCGTATATTTTCTGATTCGCTAGTTGCAAATTAGCTACAGAGGTTATGTATGTTACCTGCGTCTGATCCTCCACAACGGTGGTTCTGTGGAGTTAGGATAGTGTGTTGCTAGTAGTAGTAGCTCTGTGCTTTCTTGAAGTTGTAACCCCTTTTGTTAATGAATTAACTATGGGTCCATAATATGCTCAGCTTAGCTCAGTAAATAATTAGGTTTGGGTCAATTATGTATAAAGTCTGATTTAAACGCCACTGAATTTTATACATAAAAAATTTAATCTGTATAAAGGTTGTCGCTCACTGGAGCGCAGCGCACGGCAGCGCGGCGAAGAGGACTTTTTAGATACATTGTTTTAAACGGGAGGACGCTCACTTTTCGGAAGCGCACCGATCGGCATACTCCCATTTAAAACAATGTATTTTAAAAAGTCCTCTACGCCGCGCTTCCGTACGCTGCGCTCCAGTGAGCGTCAGCCTTTAGATGGAATATCAAAATGCTAAACTAAATAAAAAAATTTAATCAGTGATTAATATTTAATTCTAAGTGATTCTGAAATCTACATTAATAAAAAATATTTGCTCAATAAGAAAATATCAAGTCAATAGCAATATTTATCGTCACAATTTAAAGTAATTCTAAAATCTACATTAATAAAAAATATTTGCTCAACAAGAAAATGTCAAGCCAATAGCCATATTCTTGACAAATAAAACCTAGGCTTAAAAAAATTTATTATTACCAAGTTAAGCGAAAACGGATTTCCAAATTAAATATTTAATTGGAAAGAGATACCATTTAATTTATGAATCCTAAAAACACCTAAAACATGTTACAGTAGAGAGTTAAAAAATATATTATATATGGGACAGGGTAATAAAGAATTGATCAATTTTCCATGGCCACCGTTTTACATGATAACTTACACATATTTCAGGGTTCTCAGGGGAACATCTACAATATATGGCATTTAGAAATCAATTCAAGTAACAAAAATGAAATAATAAACATGTAGGTAATAATTAAAATAGAAAAGAATAGAAATTACACTCACTTCATTGTCAAGAATGGGGCATTATAATTTTACAATCAATCAAATTAAATTTCCACCAGGGATCTTTTAGTCTTCCATGTTTAGGTTATGCAAATATCATAATTTGAAATGGGTAAATAAAGGGACTTTAAATTAAATGTAGTAGAATGGAATGTTACCCATTACGCTTCATTTGTTCGGTGAGATACTTCCAGAGACGGATCGAGAGGAGGCCTGTAGATTTGGAAAATCGCCCTTCAAACGAAATCGTGGCGGTTCGCCTTTGCACCTTTTTCTACTAGCAAGTGACAGGATTGTCAGAGTGGCCCAACATGGACACACGTGAAAGTTTTCTTCTGGGAAGGAAAAAAACAGCCTCGAAAACAGCCAATTTGTATCTTCAACGGAAAGGGAAACCAACTCCACGAAAGACCCTAACATAATAGAAATATTTCCTTAAATAAGGATCGCTTTTGGATGGATTAAAAACTTACCACGTTGTGTGGGGTCGGATAAAAACTGAATTTACAGGAAAATCACAATACTTTTTGGAATGCTTATTCCGGTAATCGACTAAAGATCACTTTCGGCAACTTAATTTCGAAAAAGAAATGCCCAATGGCAGTAATCGGTACTCGGTAAGGATACTTTTTTTTTTGTTTTTTTTTTTTAAAGGATCCAATAATTATGGCGGCCAGTTGGTTCAGCAACCGAACTGGAAAAGGGACTCCCTCAATTTTCTCTTCGAGAATAAATAGCTTTCACATGACAGTAGTAAAAGGAAAACTGTCAACCTGTCGACTCTCAGCTAAAGTCTGTTTTTTTTTTAAGATAAAAGTCAAAATGACATTGTGTTGGCAATGCAATGTAAAATTAATTGTTAATGACTTCAAATTTTTTATGTAGAGAAGGCTTGTGTTGCCAACATAGTTACTAAATTTTTGACTTGGGGAATTATCTTTAAAAAAAAACAGACTTTATGTAAAAATTACTACGTTCGAAAACTATAAACGAGGTTAAAGAGTAACGAAGCACCGAGTCGAACAGATCAAGATAATATAAAAGAAAGCGCCTATGTCCTCTCGAAGGCTTGACCGATAAAATAATACATTCAGCCGGCAAAAGATGCCGCCATATGGCTGAATAATTATATAAAATTTAAAATGTAATAATGGGTCTTTATTAAGAGCTTTCTGAAGTCTCGCTGCTTCCGTATAGTTTTCGATTTCGTTGCAGTATGTCCTCCAGGCATCTCTTTGTTTTTGTCGTACGACTTTTTTCTACTGGTTGAGTTGGTACTTATAAAGGTTCCAGTCCTCAAGTAGTTTGGTGGTTTTAGCTTTATTGAAAGCTTTTTTTATTGTCGCCCTGAGGTGTTCCAGTTTCTGACACCACCATCTGGTATTACCAGAGTTTTGGAACATCCTCAGTGGGCTCGACAGCTTATAGGACTTTATGATGGCAGCTTTATTAGGTTTGAGGGATTTTAGCGAAGGGGGGTGTTGAAATATACGCTAAAATCTGCTTATACCGGTTTGGTAATATTTATGTTATAAGTATGTTGAAATAGTTTAATCCTTGCTTTGCACTCTGTCAACTAAAATTAATCTGAAGAAGTATCTGCAGTTTTAAATAGTATTTTTCTATTTTGGTGTCATATCGAAGTCTTTTCGACACTAAAAGTAGTTTCGAAAAGAAGCTCTTTGTGACACTCCTTTTTTACTTATCGGAGGTTGGTAACCCTGGCTGACTGATGGCCATCGAACTGTCATTCGCGATTTTATAATAGAAGATTTCTATAATTTGGCATGTAGTGTCACCAACCTAAATATATGAAATCGAAATATGAGAATAAAATTTCCAAAAAAAATTTGTTTTTTCTCAATCAAGCAATACCAAAATAGAAAAAATAGTATAAAATATTCGTTTCATAAGACATTTTATCGCACTCGCCCTTTAGAAAACTCGCCTCCGGCTCGTTTTCTAATATAGGGCTCGTGCGTTAAAATTACGTCTTATGAAACTTGTATTTTAATGTACTATTATAAAATCAAATCCTTGATAATATTGAATAGAGATGATTCAGTTTAGAGTTATCAGAATCTTCTCTTTTTCAGGTCTCACCATTACCGCCGCCGATTCCAACGTCTCCAATCGCTTCGCCGACTCCTAGTCTTCGACGTCCCAGCACCTCCTTACTTCATCCGGACCATGCCAGACTGTTCAGGTTGTACAACATATCCTCGCCGGAGCAAACCTCCATGGAGGACATATCGGAACCGCAACAAATCTTAAACAACCATCAAGCGTCCTTGTCATCTTCCACTACGTCTTCACTGACATCAATTGCAGCAGGTGAATTAATTATAGCTAAATGTGTATCGTATCTTACTGAGCCAAGTAGGTAACTACTAATTTTTTTTTACAATATTGGATTACAAAATAAATGAGAGTACTGTCAAATTTTTAAAATCCAGTTGCCATTGGCGTAAAATCTCATTGTCCTTCATCGCTTTGTTATTGAACCAAAAAATAATTGGTATTAATTGCCACTCTCTTAACGAACGGAAATTGAACCAAAACTGGCAGTAAATCTCGTTGCAGTTTGAAAACACCCGAGACTGCGAAACAAACAGTCGTAAAATCCAAATCAAGCATGTTCAATAAAAAACGCATTTTGCCGATGAAATACGGCTGATGACTGAATAAACCCTGAACAAACGCTTAAAAATGAACATCGAAGCGGACAGAATAATTTGTTTTTATTTATTCCTTCGCTTTGATGGCTGTAAATAATAATGTCTTGATTGTTATCTTCATTTGTGCACGCAATTATTGGATCGTTTTAAGGTCAAGGTTTGTTGAAACTTCAGAGACATTGAACAAATCCTAATAATTAAAACATGAATTCAAATTCCAGGTTTAATTTTATACAAAAAATCAATACCACGAGGCGATTTGTGACTGGAAGTGAAGCGAAAGATGTCATTAAAAGTTTCTAACCAGTTTGAAATAGGAAATCGTAATAAATTGGAAACTACAAAGATTGAGGCTTAGAGATTTCTTCATTGGGTTATAATATACAAAATTCACTATAAGATATTCTCTTTGCTAGGAGTATAATTCACTCAATATATACATACAACACATAAACACCATCACCTTCACCATATAACTAATAAATAGAGTAATTACTTTGGCAAACTTCTCACTAGTATATTATTCATTTTCAGGTGTGATGCAATGCAATTCGCTAGCCAGCAACTCTTCAGACAGCAGACGTAGATCCTCCTCAATGACAGCAAGGTACTCACTCTTCGACGCTCTAGATCTAGAGTACGCCCTTTTGCGTGCCGCCGCTAGAGGCAGCGTAGGCCCTTACTCTCTCAGCGAAAGCATACACAAACTGACTTTCACTCAAAGTCTAGCTTTCCCAGCTCTGGCCAGAGGACTGGCCGGGAAACGTCGACGATCGCACCAAAACAGTACGGCGAGACCTTTGGACACTGCCGACAGCGGTTTGAACGCTTTCGCTAAAGTGATAACGGTGCTAGTGCTGGTACTAGTAAGCGTACTTGTGTTCGCTGTAGTGTACAAGTTTGTGAGGACGTGAGGGTTGCTTCTTGCTCCGGGCGGGGCAAAAAACAATAAGTTTATTTTAGCTAGGAATTCGAGTGCATATCGTGGAAGCGAGGGATTTACGTAAAGAGTCTATTGAATATTAGGACAAAAAAACTTGGAATCAAAACAAAAATAAAACCAAAGTTCCTTTTAAGAAGCGGAATTGTTTGTCTTAATATTAAATAAACACGGATTTGATTGAATATACATAAAGCTATTTTAATAATGTGATGCTTTGTTGTAAACTATATTAATTTGTAATATCTATATATGGTCCAAAATTGATTGGGCTCAACTTTGTGATAGTTATATAAGGAATACAACTTTTTAACAAGTATTATTGATCTACAGGATGGCACTTAATTGGGAATACTCTTTGTATTTTTTTCAAGTTGAAACACAATAGTACATTAAAATACAAGTTTCATAAGACGTCATTTTATCGCACGAGCCCTATATTAGAAAACGAGCCGGAGGCGAGTTTTCTAAAGGACGAGTGCGATAAAATGTCTTATGAAACGATTATTTTATACTATTTTTTCTATTTTGGTATTGTTTAATTAAAAAAACCAAATTTTTCTTGGAAATTTTATTCTCATATTTCGTTTTCATATATTTAGGTTGGTAACACTACATGCCAAATATAGAAATCTTCTATTATAAAATCGCGAATGACAGTTCGATGGCCATCAGTCAGCCAGTGTTACCAACCTCCGATAAGTAAAAAAGGAGTGTCACAAAGAGCTTCTTTTCGAAACTAGTTTTAGTGTCGAAAAGACTTCGATATAACACCAAAATAGAAAAAAAGAGTATTGGTACGATTATCGTTCATCCACGATTAATTAATCAGTATTGAATATCAAAAAAAGTATTTTTAAAACTGCTATAGGTAGATATATTTCAATTGGGTTTGTTTTATAACATTTGTGTTGCTTCAAATAATTCATAAAATTTTATTATTTCCCCTGCTCTACTTATACAAGCACAAGAAGCGCACATTTATAATTTTTGTAATAAGGATGTTGTTATATTTTTTTATGCTCACAATACTATTAATATAAACTTCTAATTATTGTAATATTTGTATTTTAAGAAAAAAAATTGTTATTAATGGTATAAATGTATCTATTTATTATTATCAAAAAAATAAGTTGTAAATAAAGAAAATATTCTCTTTTACTATACTAATTTTGCTGCGTTATTACCAATTCATCAAATATAAATTATCCCACATTGCAAAATGGGTAATACAAACAAAGAGTTTTCGATTCCAGGATATCCACTATCCTAATTTGATGATTAAAACTGTTATTTAGGTACCTAATTATTTCTAAATTGAAACTGGTATCGATTTCCAATATTTACTGTGGTCAAATTTTCGTAGTATCTTTGTTTTGTAACATTGCAGTATTACCAAATTATAAAATAAATTTCTTTCCATTATTAAATAATTAATTTCATCACGAAATGTATTTTCTCTACATGGTAACAAATTTTAATAAAAATACCTTTTTACTTAATTATTATATACATTATGATATCGAAGTCCTGTGCAGTCCCAAAGTCAGACACATGTTCAGACTCTATCATGTTTGAGTAAAATAAATCTACCTGTTCTATTCACTCACAACGAATAAGTTTGGTATAGTAAAAAGTAGTGTTCCTCCGATGACGGAGGAACACGGAAGAGAACACTTCGTCCTCAATGCGGTATGCTTCACAATTGGGCCACCCTGCGAGTTAGGAAAAGTCATGTCATAGATATGTCATGTCGTATGGTCTTTAAAATAAACCTTGTGGGTTTATAGCTCAGAGGAATAAAAAACTATAGAGTGAGCATACCAATCATAAATCCCTTATTTTTTGTATGCCATTGACAACGCCCATTCTAAGCCAAAATTTCCCTAAATTTAGGGAAAAATGTATTTTTTCTTAAATGATTTCAACGCCGCTTTGCTGGAAAGCTTTCCACCTGCTTTACCCCACCTGAGTGATCATAGGCGTGCGGAAGGAAGGTTAAATGGTGAAAATATTTTTATTTAGTGACAAAAATTAAGCAAATTAAATAAAAATGTTCTGCTTCATTAGCAGAAACATGGAAACTAAACAGATTCTGGGTAACTTTTGATCAATAAATCTTTTTGATACAGATCTTAGGAATTAGGTCTACTATCTGAAATGAAATAAATACAGCAGTGTTAGATCAATCAAATTCATGTTACATTACAAAATATTACAAAAAAAGGGGCCGGTGCGTCTGGTTCTGAGACAACATTCTTCAATATTTGTTCCTCAGTTTCTGAAACTGTTGAGGTAGTTGATGAGGACTGAGAGAGCACTGTCAGGCATTTGGAAGTACTCGGAGCATAAAAAATTCTAAAAAGAAAAAATTATAATGGAGCAATCCCTTGATTTAAGAAGTAGGTAGGCGCATACATGTATACCACTGACTCTCCTTCATCTCAAAACCGAATAAAATCCTATGTAGCATCCTATACATAAATGAAAAATACGAACCCTCCAGAAACAACTTTCTTGTCAAACACATGACTCTCTCGATTAACGATTTCAACCACAGGCTTGGAGGAACATCAGGATCCATGAGGTACACTCAGTTTTTGGAATCTAAAACGATTTAATAGGTGTTTCTGCCCTACCTGACAAATATTGAATTTTGAGCTTGGAAACTGAACTAGTTAAAATCACATAACCTTCTTAATCAGGAGAATATTTTGTATCTTCTTTTTGGATTATAAAATCATTCCAATTCATTTTTTTGTAGTCTGCATAATATAAGCAATATTTTTTGTTATCACAAACTAACATCTACTTACACTACTTTTGTTTTTGGAGAAGACTGGAGACTCTGTGACTGAAGAGTCTGAGCTGAGGTCTGAACTAGAAATTAATGTAGCTAATATGTACAAATTATATCAAATATTAAATAACCAACTTACTTTGAAGTATTGAAAGCATTGGAAACAGGTGAAGAATCCGAACCAGATATTACCTCGGCCTAGTGCATATATCATTGAGGTTAAAATGATCTGAGCAAACATCAGCGATTTTGGGTAGTCGCTTATTTTCTAATCCTAGAAGGCAAATCCATATACGCCTGCGCTCTGGATTTGTTCGAATCCTACAAAGACGCATATTTAACTTTAATCAAGCATAAGGATTATTATATTATTCTGCTCGGATTTTCCCCATAGAAGTTCATAGAAAAAATTATTGAAATTAACAACTGGTAACTCAAAGATTACAAGCTTCAAAAAATACATTATACCTTTCAGTAATGTAATATGTATGTTTTTATTTATCTGATATATTATCAATAGTAATATAACTAGTGCAATGGAAATTATTGATCATTTTTGGGAAATTTGCCCGAATGCATTTTTAGTTGAAAAAGAGCACGAGTGCACGTAGTGCACGAGTGCCTTTTTCAGTTGAAAACGCATGAGTGCAAATTTGTCGAAAATTATAAATATATTTCCATTGCACGAGTTGTATTTAATGAGAGAATTTCATAAATCAAAAATTTAAATTTTTTGTCAAAAAATATCAAAACACCAGTTTTCGCACCAGTTAGTATGCAATTATCTGATAATTTGCACTAGTGCAAATTATCGCGTAATCACAATCTGATTGGATCAAATAAACAATCAAAACATGTCAATTTATTGTTGGAGTACCAGTTTTGACAGATGTATGAAATTCTCTCATCAATCCAAATAATTTCCTCAATCTTGGAACAAATTTGATATTTTTCTGGCGAAGTAGGTACATTATATCCTATTCTACGCCACTGCTTTGCTATCATAATATAACCCCTACTTACCTAGGAAATGAAATTTCCGGGTTCAAATAATCCAATTTTTCACACATTTGACACTGTCTAACTATATTGCTGTATAATATTAGTCTTAAAACACACAAATAATTCACTTTCCAAACATAAAATATCAGAAAAACCTCACAAAAACGATTTCACGATGCTTTCTAACAAAAGGCAACAAGGCACAATCAAACTGACGTTAACTGTCAGCTTTGACGCCGTTTTACTATGCGATGTTGTCACGTTGAAAAATAAATAAGGATACTTGAATAATAACAATATTTTCTAAGCTCCTTTTTTACTAAAACAAACAACTTGAAATTATCAAAAATCTGCATTGAGGAGTTTTTCTAGTTACTCAGTTTATTTGCACTTTTATCAAATTTGAAAAGGTATTTTTTCCCTATTTATTTGACGAGAAGTCCAATAAAGGTTTTTTCCAAAATATAATCGGCAACATGTTGATTCGTCTAGGATGGCGTTTTGACTTGATCGTTTAGACTATGCTTTCTCACTGGCACCTCGTCAAAATGTAAATAACGGCGTCTATTGTTTTTTATTCCTATGAGGTTTATAGTCTTTGTAGTCTGTTTTCTGGCCTTGAAATAAAGACCTGCGTCCATAGTAAACATTTTAATGTTTTATTGTCAAAACATTAAGTAAATACATAGCATACCACACCGCCTCTGAAGATGTCTACCGCAGCAGTAGACGAAACGTTAGGTAGATATACTTATGAACCACTGCATTATAGCCCGGAAAATACTTTTTTACTAGATTTGACCGGTCGTGAAAGCCTTCATTCTTTGAGTTTGGTATAGTTACTTTTTCCAAAAATTTCACAATCCTTTGTTGAATTTTAAGTTTTCAGTAGAGCTTTTGGAGTCACAAGTCTTCAAAATATTAAAGATTGCTATTTTAGTATTAATTATTGGCTATCGGTATCTTGAGTATTGACTTTTAAGTCTTTAGTATCAAGTAGTAAGCCGTGAATTTTTATTTTTAACTATTAATTACTTATTGAGTCAGTAGAGTGTTTTCACAGCTATCAGACATACCCACCTCTACCACGTAAAACCCCCCTCCAGCACAGCCATCGTACCACTACCCACCTCCACTGTAAAACTTCCGTGAAGTACCTGAGCACTTTTTTGACTCAAGTGCCCCCAACCATCAATACCCACCTCTTGTACGTAAATGGTTGACCAGATTCACAAATTTTAGGGTTGGCCCGGGTCAAATTCCCAAAATTTCAGATCAAAAGCGCCGATTTTCCCACAATATCGAAAAAGTTCCCACGCTATCGAAAAAGTTCCCACGGTTGGCCCGGGTCAAATTCCCAAAATTTCATATCAAAAGCGCCGATTTTCCTACGGTATCAAAAAAGTTTCCACGCTCAAGAGCCTTCAGCTATCAAACCAATACCCACCTCTACTACGTTAAAAAGCTTCTACTCTGAAGAGGTACCATATCCCTTCACTTTCTTGAAAACTAAAGAATACCTAAACAATTCCTGCATTTGTATCGTGAATTTTGGAGTTGGCCCGGCTCAAATCCTCAAAATTTCAGTTTTGCGGTTCTCAATATTTTTGAGTGGAAGCAAGTGGTGAAAAACCTTGCTAATTTATTGATACATCTTCGAAAAATATGGTTTGATTTTTCATTGAAACACCATAAAACAATAAATCAAGTTATCGTTTTATTAAAAAATATATACAAATTGGAATTTTGAAAATCTTTTTTCTTTCCTGTTGCCTGAATTTTTTTTGCTCACTGCTCATTTTTGACGGGGGACAACGGATTATGGGTTGGATACAACATCTGATTCTGGGTTATTGCTATCTACCAGAAAGTCCTTATCTCAAGAATCGTCGATGGTAGGGTTTTTTTGTTTGAATATATTTATATGTTTATTATGTCTGATATGCTCGACTAATTTAGTTGAACTTTTGGATAAATGGGAAAAGTTACTAATGAGTTACAAAAACAACCAACTTCATTAAAATCAGTGATAAGCCAGCATTTTTTAAAATCCACTCAAGAATTGTGCTTTGTGATCTTCGAAAAATATGTTTTGATTTTTTATAATACCCAATGAAACAATAAATTAAGTCACTATTATTTTATTAAAAAATTCGCAATCTCTCTCTTTCTTCTTGTCTAAAGTTCTTTTTCGCTTTTTAAAGTTCCCACGCTCAAGAGCATTCAGCTATCAAACCAATACCTACCTCTACTAAGTTTAAAAGCTTTTACTCTGAAGAGGTACCATATCCCTTCACTTTCATGAAAACTAAAGAATATTTAAACAATTCCTGCATTTTTATTCGTCAATAGTGTTTCAAACTCCATGGGATGCAGAAGCTCTTGAAAGGATTCAAAATTAAAAGCAGACCGTTATTGTTAAAGGACCCTATCAAAGTTATATTTCAAAAATGGAAGTAGAGTTATTGACAACCACCAACACTGAAAAAACTCAAAACTGAATTGTTGTTCCTCTATAGACAATGTTCTAGCTCATATGAATGATGAAAAATTACTCTCAGATTTTACAAGCGAATAACTATTGAAATTTCCGTTGGATTATTTATTGAAACATGCAAAGTCCTTTGAACTTTTGGATGCATGGGGTAAGTTACCAACGAGTTACAAAAATAATCTGTTACTGCAAATTAAGTTACGATGTTTCATCCATTTCAATAGAGATGAATGGAAAACTCATTTTGATGGTCCACCAGATTCACAAGCAAAATGTTATTATTGTAATAAAATTATTTTATCCAATTATGTATGAATATTTTAAATAAAGCCAAGTCGTTTAAAAAATTATTGCATTTTCTTTGCAAACTTTAAGACCAGACAACCTTCAAAACATCATGAGAATCTAAAGTGCACTGACCACAAAATAACTATGATATAATTAAAATACCTATCCCATAACGCGTAAATATTTTCTACAGACACCAACCACTTATCTATATTGAGCGACTTTTCAAATTCGTTAAAACATGTAAAAATGCGAATGAGAATTGATAGCATGCAGAGTTTAAATTTTTAAAACCAGATCTACTTACTGCTTCCACTCAAAAATATCGAGAACCGCAAAACTGAAATTTTGGGGATTTGAGCCGGGCCAACTCCAAAATTCACGAATACAAATGCAGGAATTGTTTAGGTTTTCTTTAGTTTTCAAGAAAGTGAAGGGATATGGTACCTCTTCAGAGTAGAAGCTTTTTAACGTAGTAGAGGTGGGTATTGGTTTGATAGCTGAAGGCTCTTGAGGGTGGGAACTTTTTTGATACCGTCGGAAAATCGGCGCCTTTGATCTGAAATTTTGGGAATTTGACCCGAGCCAACCGTGGGAACTTTTTCGATAGCATGGGAACTTTTTCGATATCGAGGGAAAATCGGCGCCTTTTATCTGAAATCTTGGGAATTTGACCCGGGCCAACCCCAAAATTTGTGAATCAGGTGAACCATTTACGTAGAAGAGGTGGGTATTGATGGCTGGGGGCACTTGAGTCAAAAAAGTGCTAAGGAGCTTCACGGAAGGGGGTTTACAGTGGAGGTGGGTAGTGGTATGATGGCTGTGCTGAAGGGGGGTTTTACGTGGTAGAAGTGGGTATGTGGTCTGATAGCTTTGAAAACACTCTACTTGAGTCCTAGGTGTTTGAAATCTTGACTCTTGTTCAATATTGAGCTTCTCCAAATTACGACCTTTGAGAATTTCGAGCTAACTCAACTCAACCAAACTCAATAGCCTATTTTTTGTAAATTTAATTTAATTTTTCCGATTAACTTTCCAATATTTGAGGAAAAAGGCTAGTCCTTACAAAGTTTTACCATCTTTCATTGTTTAAGCACAGCATGTTCAAGTTTCATCAAATTTCAAACTTTTTCCCTAGATGTCTCGTTAATTTTCAGGTTTCAGCCTTGATCAAAATTGAAAATCAATAAAGTTTTTCAGTAAATCAATGAAATGTAGTTACTGAAATTTCCTTACTAGATGGCGCTGTTCTTATTGAACCGAGCTCAAATAAATAGCTTTATTATTGATTGATTGAAACTTCTGCAAGAAAATCTAACTTTCTCTACAATTGGATAAGTTTTTTAAAAGAAACTCAATATGTAACTATATGTTTATTACCAACTAACATCGTTTATCACTAATATCTATAAGGAATGATGAAGAAAAATAGAATTTTAGGTAATATCAATTTAAAAAATGAGTAAATTTAAAACAGAAAATTTGAGCAGCAGCAAAATACTTTATGACGAAAACTGGAGTAAGACTGACTTTAGTCTAAAATACATTCTTGACTAAATGTGCTTAATATAAATTAAACAAGATCGGGGGTTACCTATAATCATACAAATTTTTGGTCATTAGCCTTTAATAATTTTTTACATTGCATATATCTCTGATTAAGCCTTATATCGGTTCAAAGCTGACTAAAAAAAAATAATTTCAAATAACTGGAAATAGAGTTATATAAAAATATAATGATATGTAAAATGTGAAATATTTGTCTATTCAAAAACTTACTCGATAGGGATGATTGTATAGAAGAATTTCTGTTGCACAATATGTATATCATATGATTATCAATTATGCAACAAATTTGAATAATTTAGATAATTATGTATAGGGTTTACGAAATTATACATGCATTACTAAATAAATAGATCTAGAAATTTTTAATTTCCAGGATGATTAGGGGCATAAGGGCCAAATTATGGACCAACTGGTAAGTGTCTGGTTGTTACCTAACAGTTAGTTCTTATTCTCTACATGTAGTGCATAGAAAGTACCTGCTAGGTAACAACCAGACGTTTACCAGTCGGTCCATAATTTGGCCCTAAGGAAAATTGTATGATCATATGCACATATTGGCTTCATAAATATTTTCCAAATAAATGTACAATTTCCTCTAAATTTTTTTTTACAAAATATTTATAGATACGCTATCATTTAATGACTAGTGATATTGTTCTAAAGTTAAACTCTCACAACCTAAGTCTTCTTTTCTACTCTCTAAAACTAATCTGAAAAATAAATGAACTAGAAGAAAAACCATAAGCTGTAGTATCAAAACTTAATTAAAGTGCGTTCATTGTTTCCTAGATTCTTAAAATTAAATGTGCGATATTGAAAATAGTTTGTTTTTTTTGGCAAATATATTAGGACAGAAGAAGAAGCTATCCGAAGGCAACTGGAAAGCTTTACGAGAGTCGGAGATAAGATGACACCAAAGCAACATTCTTTCAATTATCCAGCTATTATTATATCTCCGACTTTTTTATAGTAATCCAAGTGCCTTATTGTTTCATCCAATAAAAATAAACAATAAAATTCAAAAACAATTCTCAACCGTCACACGAACTCAAGAGTAACGTGGCCTCATTGGAGTCTTTAATCTCTAAATCCCTCTTCGAGCTCATTTCCGAATTTTCCGTTTCCAAAATGAAAACCTCATCGTCCGCCTTTTCCGAACATTCAATAACAGTTTTCTCAGAAGTTTTCTCTTCGGATTTTGACGTTAAACTGTCGCGCGACTCGTCCTCTTCATTGACAGTTTCCATTGCGGTCAATATCGGCGACACCGGAGCTGTCGGAGGTGTTATCCTACCACTTCTACCCAACAGGTAATAAGTCATCAGCTGACCTTTGCCTTTAACAGCTACAAGCCCACGTTGCTCGAACTGATAGCCGAAAGCTTGCAAAATTTGACAAGTCTCTTCTGTGACCTAAAATTTTACAGTAAAACAATATTGCTCCAACAAAAATCCTTACCTGTATGCATCCAGCTTTTCCGGTACTTTCCATCCTGGACGCCACGTTGACAGTGTTGCCCCAAATATCGTAGTGCGGCTTTCGGGCTCCGATAACTCCAGCGGTGATCGGGCCGTGATTGATGCCCAGCTTCAGTACAAAATGATTGAAGGATTGTTCGTTAATGCTTTGTAGAGCTTTTTTCAGGTCTAGGGCGAACTCTACTAGGAGAGACAGGTGGGCCCATCGAATTTGGACAGGATCTTCTGGCTAGAATTTGAAGTTTTGTAAAAGTTAGTTGGCATATTTTGGATAAGGAAATGTAATGAGAAACTATTAAAATTGACATCATTTTATTTAGTAGTTGAAACAAATTCAAATAAATATTTTCGTTGATAAATTCTGCTGATGAGTTATACTATTTTATGGAGTTGATTTCAACTTTCCTCCTGGCTTCTGAGGCACTTTGGATTCAATTAGGATAATTTCTTCTCAATTCTGAAGCGCTGTGGAAGTACCTACATAGATCTCGACTCTCCTGTTTCCTGCAACACTGTGGAGTGAACTCAGATAATTTGGAAAACTTTTTCTGGCTTCTGAGTCACTTCAGATGAATTCTCCTAGATTCTGGAGAACCTCAAGAGCTGTGGAGACACTTAAGAATACTTTTCCTCGCTTCTGAAGTGATGTGATGTGAATCTGGACTCTCCTAGCTTTTAAAGGACTATGAATTTGCTCTGGAATAATTCTGCTAACTTCTGAAACTCTGTAAAGTATATTTGGATCAATTCTCTCAACTTCTGGAGTAAATTTTCGCTTTCCTAGTTCCTCAAAAGTCACGGAATCGCTTTGAATGACCTTTTCTCTCTTCTAGAGTGCAATGGATTGGATTTGAATTTTCCTGGCATCTGGGGCGATGTCTATTTCATTCGCTTTTGAAAAAATTCCTCTGGCTTTTCGAGCATTGTAGACTCTGTTAACTTCTTTGATGAAATAGAGCCGTTTTTTTTCTAGCTTCTAAAGCGTTTTGAAGTTGATTTTGGCTTTACTGGTTCCTTAAGAGCCCTGGAATCACTGTAGGGAAGTTCTTCTTGCTTCTAAAGCAGTGTGGAGTAAATTTAGACTGTCCTGGCTTTAAATTTGTTCTGTTTATGCTTTAGAATATCTCTCCTGTCTTCTACAGCATTTTGAAGTGAACTTGGATAATCTGGGAAAAAATTTCTGGCTTCTGGAAAGCTGGAGAGATGCTTTCAGAGAAATTCTCTTGGCAATTCTCAAGAACTGAAAAACTTTCCCTGATTTCTGGACTGGAGTGCTCTGGAGTAGATTTGGATAAATTTTACTGGCTTCTGGAGTAGATTTTCGCTTTACCCTATCATAACTTTCAAGGTTCTTGGGCATAATTCTCCTGGCTTCTGGAATGCTGTGGAGCCTATTTGGATAAGTTCTACTGGCTTCTGGAACACTGTATTGCCTAAGATGAAATTTTCTTAGATTCTGGAGCGCTATACACTCTCCTGGCTTCTGGCACGATTTAATGACAATTTAGATAAATTCTTATGGCTTCTGGAGCAGTGTCGAATAAATTTAGACTGTCTTGACCTTAAAGTTGTTGTGTATTTGCTCTGGAATATTGCTCTTGGCTTTTTGAACTCTTGTGAAGTATATTTGGCTAAATTCTTTGGAGTAGATTTTCACTTTCAAAGTTATTCAAAAGCCGTGGAGTAACTTTACATACCTTCTCCTCTCTTCTAAAGTGCAATGGATTGGATTTCGACTTTCCTGGCTTTCAAGGCGCTGTCTATTTCCTTTGAATGAATTCTCCTGGTTCTGGAACGCCGTAGAGTGAATTTGGATAAATTATTCCCTGTTCTGGGATGCTGCAGAATCGCTCTAGGAAAAAATCTTCTGGCTTCTTGAGCATTGTAAACTCTAGGGCACTGTGAAGTTCCTCAACATCTGCTTGAATAAGCGAAAGGAACCACCCTCTGAGTACCACTTTACTAGCCCATTGGCTACCCCTTAGTACCGGGCTTGCGAGAATCGACAAAGTCGAAGATCTCTAACCCTTTAAGCCTTCAACGATTCGCTGAAAGTACCCTGTGGTTTCTTGTTGTTTTCCCATTGGTTCTTAAGTTTATCCAACCTTCCCCATTCAAACTGCCTTTCCCTTTTCTAACTACGTATACTTTCTATTTTTATTTCCTAATTTCTAACCTAGTCGAGTAAATAAAATATTTAAAAGTTCCCTAATTTCTAACCTAATTATCAAGGGTGTGAAGTGAATTAAACTATCCTCTATTAATTTAATAATAAAATAATTGAGTAATCAGTCCGATCTTAACCTACCTATATCTTAATTATAACTAAGCATTTGACTAGCTTACAATTAACATTTTACCCAAGTAATAACCCTTGATAATTATATTGTTACACAATTTGTTTTTATATCTTAAAAATCCAGCTCATGTAATCATTGCTTCGCTCCACACACACATGCTTCGAATATAATTCTTTCCAGCAACGGTATCAGTTACCTGACATCTGGGCTCGTCATAAAACGTGGGTATTCAGAAGATTATTCTTGAATAAATTATTACGACCACATGGGATCTGGTTCAGTCGACAAATTAGTTTAAAGTTTAGTGTTTATCTAGGAAAACATAAATTTTGCCTATACATTTGTCAATTTCCGGTAACAGCAATAATAATCTTGAAGCTATAAAATTTGATACTTTTCTTGGTTTCAAGTGATTTTTACCCTGGAACAGATTAGGTCGTTCGCAGAACTCCATGTGTTTGTAAGTCCCATTTTAACTATCTATAGAAATAAAACTTTTTCCCACAAAAGATAAACTTGAATCGAGATTATTAAATTACTATTGATTTTGTTACAGTTGTTCTGTTTATGCTTTGAGATATTTCTCTTGTCTTCTACACCGCTTTGGAATGAACTTGGATAATCTGGAAAACCTTTTCTGGCTTCTGGAAAGCTGAAGATTTGCTCAGAAAAATTCTCCTGGCGATCCTCAAGAGCTAAAAAAAATTTCCTGGTTTCTGAACTAGAGTGCTCTGGAGTAGATTTTCGCTTTCCCAGTTCCTCAAGAGCAGCTTCTGAAGTCTTGTAGAGTAGATTTGAACTCTCATGGCTTTCGGAGTACTGTGTATCTACTCTGGCATAATTCTCCTGGCTTTTGGAACGCTGTAAAGTCTATTTGGATAAATTCTACTTGCCTCTGGGACAGTGTAGAATTGCATAAGATGAAATTCTCTTGGATTCTGGAGCGCTGTAGACTCTCCTGGCTTCTGCCCCGAATTATTGGCACTGGAATGCTGCAGAATGGCTCTAGGAAAAATTCTTCTGGCTTCTTGAGCACTGTAGACTCTAGGGCACTGTGAAGTTGATTCCGCTATTCTTGGTTTCTCAAGAGCTAAAGTCCATTTAGAAAACTTTTTTGCCTTCTGGAGCAGTTTGGGATAGATTTTGTCTCTAGACTTCAAGTTCCATATTACAGAAAATCTGTTGATATCAGAATAGAACAGGCAACCAAATCGATATACCAATTTCCCAGAAAAAAGTGTCTGTCACGTTCAAATTTATACAACATAAATCACTTGATAAAACCATAATTTCCTGTCATAAACAACAAAACCAATGAGTTATAGCTCGACTATACAAGTTCTACATCATAAACTATTTATTCAGCAATATATCCCGAAACATCAATCGTCCCTAAAGGCTTAACAACACACAGGGAATTAAATAGACGGACCGTTTGAATTATTTGCACGATAAATCTTTACCTTTATTTGTCTTGAGGGATTAAGGCCGCTGGCCGCCATGTAGGTCGAGCCGATTGTCTTGATTTTTATTACGTCTTGGTATTTGGGAAGTTCTAGCAACTGGAAGTAAGTAATTTAAGTTGAGATAAAAGTAAATTGAAAAAGTACTTACGGCGTCAAAATCGGATATTACTTCGTTTAGGAACCTCAAACATTCTAGACCTTGATTATTTACAGTTTCTTCAGAATAGAAATCTGAAATAAAAATAGTAGTAAGTGGATAGAGAACTCGACCAATCCTCACCTGAAAAATTAGGCATCGAAGCGAACAAAACTCCGACCTCTTCGTAACTTTGCGAATATAGTTCGTCGTGGTTCCGGTTCCTGCTGCTCATAAAGTGAGCGGCGACGTGAGGCGGCAAAATGTTGTAAACCAGGGCTTCGTTTCTGCGTTTCAAATCTTCTGCGCAGTCACGTTGCTCTTCAATTTCCGAACGCCATAGAAACAGGACTCTTAAGACTTGTTCCATCTAGTATGCAACTCATAATAAGAGTATGTTTGAGTATTTATTGTCAAGTACTTACATGTCGTGCTAGAAATGCCAAGGCAACAGTCGCTGTAATTAAAAGGCCTGAAATTGTGTAAGGCTCTGTGAAGAAACTAAAAAATAATACAAGATAATAATTTTGCAACTAAACTATAGTCTATTACCTCATCCTTCTAGCAACTTCGCAGTCTAACGAATTTCCCACATAAAATACATTAACGCAACACTGACAGACGGTGATAAGCACCATCAGGAAAGTCTTCCACAAATAGGGTAAACAGGCCGGCAGGGCTGTGGCGATTAGAATTAACACAACGAAATAGCTGAAGTAGGAAGGATACAGACAAGCTCCGTTAATTTCTTTGGTCGTCGTGCAATTTTCTTCGAGATCGATTTTCACGCAGGACATCTAGAGTAAGGAATTTGTAGAGTTTTTACTAGAAAATAACTCAAAGTTTACCGTATCCAAAGTGTTGATTAGTCCTAGTTTTATTATGCACAGGGTGGCTAATATCATTCTTCTTATCATTGATTCTTTGTAGGCCTTACAGCAATTTGACTAAAAATTAAAGCAATTTAAATCAATCTAAATTGAATCAGTTTGAAATATTTGGCAATGTGCTCCTAACTTTCTTCTATGTACATCAAAAGTTTCAATCCAAAACTGATACTCTTATTTGCAGGACTTAGTGCATTGGGTACTCTCACTGGAGGTGCGTCTGCAATAGCAAACACTGTTGTAAAAGCATGAAATGCACGACAAAAGTTACAAGAACATAGCCAATCGAAAACTATGAAAGAAATTGAGAAAAATGGTGCAACATTATTAATTCTTACCACTCCTGGAAATTCTTCAATTATTGCCATAGTCACTAACGCAAAAAATAACAAGTTTTCTAAAAAGTAGTTGGTATCTAATGTAATATCGCTAAAACAAAACAACAATTATTATAAAATTGAATAAATAAAGCAATCAAAATTACCTTGGTAAGACTATAAATATACAGGCTGCTATTGCTAACCTTATCACAATAAACATAATTAAAATTATACTCGACGAGCTTTCTATGTGATGATGATATGATTTTTCTTTTTGCGGGTCCACAAAGGATAAGGTAACGTATTTTGTGTTTTTGGCCAATTCCCTAAAAAAGCAGAATTCTATAATCTTCAACGATATTTGAATCATCATACTTACATGTGACCATCTCTATTAACTAACTCTTTTCTCAATCTAGTTTTGAATTCTGCAGAATCTTCTCTGGATCTTACTGGTTCTGTACCCTGAAAATAATTGTCAACAATAATATTTCATTCGTTTTTACTTACATTTATCTCCTCTTTTATGGTTTTCAATTCTGAAATGACACAGCTATCAGCATCAGGAATTATAGTAGTTGTATCTCCGTTTTGTACTTCTGTTGTTTGCGGTTCGAACTAAAAAAAATTATAAACTTTAATATAAAATAGAAATAGAGAACAGTATTTCAAGATAAAAGAAATTTGCATTTTAATAAGTCAAAAGTTAACACTGGAAGCTCTATTATTATGAATTGCTATAAAGAAAAAGAATTTTCAAATTATGCATTTCGTGCTCTTGTCATGCATATTTTATGGAAGAATAAAGAAACCAGCTTCTTTCTAAAATTAAATCCAACCAATTGATTTTGCCTTTATATGTAATGTGGCGGCTCAGAGCCTGCGTTACAAGGTTACATTGGAAATTTTGTTTTTCAGGTTAAGGAGTGAGGTGAGAATCAATTTATTATTCAAAAAACCACAGGAAAATCATCTTAATTTAAATTCGTCTCGCCTTTGACTATACAAACCAATCTCACTCTATTAAACGATTCGACCTTTCCTTTTCAAGAAAATCGAGAATGAAAATTTTCATTCGTCCACTTACCGGTTTGAGGACTTTCCCGATAAAATAGGTTTTCAGTCCGGCAATCCTCAGAGCCTCGTCTCGTTTCTCGCCGAATGCCGGTTCAACTTCGAACTCGCCATTCAAAAAGGATAATGTGGTCGCTGAAATGTGAACACGACTGAAAAATAGAGAGAAAATCGAATCAGAACTTTTGTCGTTGGATTTTTTTTTTTTTAATACAATGCAATTTGTTTTGAGCACAAATCTGCATCCAAACAACGTTTTTCCCATAAATTAGCATCAGTGATAGGTTGTTGATTGTAACTGAATGTATCTATTTGAAAGTTTCACAATGCTAAACTAAGTTGTTTTTGCAAATGTCGCTCGTGCATACAAACTCTGGTTAAATAAATTTCAATTTTCTCTATCCGTGAGGGGCTTTTCAGTACAAAATGTTTGCCCCAGTTTCTGTGTGTGGTGCAAAGGGTTTACGAGTGTTCGCATTGTGCTAACTTTTAGGAGGGCTTTTCAATTTTTTTAAATTTCATTTGCTGTATTCAGTCAGCTCGTTGACAATGCTGGAAACTGATCCATATTGACGACTGGCTGACCTCGAAGAAAGTAGTCCACTATGAAAAATTCAAATGAGCTATAAACACCTTTGACCTATATAAGTCAACACGGACAGATGGGATCTATCCCATAATGTTACAAAACGGAACTGAGCTTGCAAACAGGATACCTTGTAACATTCTAAGAAGTAGCCTAGCGTTTGGCTATACAGTGTGTCCCAAATTGGTGGTGAATGCATTAAGATATAGGAAACTATAACAGGTACCGAGGAAGGTTAAATGGGAAAAGTTTTAGACAATTATGTTAGACGTTTAATAGCGTTTGCAGATTGAGTCTATAGCTATCCACATTTTTTAGATATTTAGAAAAAACTGAAAAGTTAGTTTTTTGAAAATGGTCTGTAAATCTTTTAGTTTTTAAAATTTCTCAAATCTTTTTAAGCAACTCTTTGTGCAGAATACGCATGTGCGATTACATTTTTTTAGCACGTTTCGGTTTTTGGGAACCATCATCAGCTCCATTATTTCTTATAGCCGCCCTATTGGATTTTTATACCATAAAATAGAGTGAAAAAATACAAAATCAATGATATAATACCCTAGACCAAAATAATTAATTTTGACCATAGAAAATACGTTTTTATGTTTCGATCAACTTGGCAACGTCGCATTACAGAATATTTATTATAAGGAAGCAAATTAATTTTATTTTGAACCATATAATATGTAATTTTCACTTTTCTTACTGGTATGAAGGTTCGAAAATGTATAAAGTGACAGTTCTCCTGTCACTTTCGGCCTGGAGAACTCACTTTCGGCCTGATAAAATTGTTCTTTCACACCTAAACACGAATCCAGGTGCAATGTTTGTATTTAGAAGTAGATGTCACATGTGCTTATATTGTTGAAATGTCATAGGATGTCAATGTCGGTGTCAGAGTGTCAGTAGGAATTCCAATTTTGTCATATTTTTACCTTTTTTTTTTTTCAATAATTAATGGTTCAAAATAAAATAATATACATATTTCGGTGGAAAGTTTATATATTGGAATATTGTCTCGAGAATTGGTTGGCCTCGGCGCTTCGCACCTCGGTCAATAAAGTCTGTTTTTTTTTAAAGATAAAAGTCAAAATGACATTATGTTGACAATTGATTGAGGTTAGACTGCTTGAATGTAAACATCATATAATGGTGCACTCCAGACAAAATATGTTTTTATAGGCGCCGGTCACAAATTCCCCTAGCGGCAGTTTTCAAAAGAATTTGTATAATAAACAATTGGGCTTTTGACAGAAGCCCAATATAGTCTTAAGGCCGGGATAGACGTTCCGTCATGTCCATCAACTCACTTGCGCAAACTTAAATTGAATGGCAGAACTGATTCCTTATTTGACTCCTAACTATTCAGTCTTCAGCTTTGTGGTGGATACATTTTATCTTTTGGAAAATGCTTCATTGCTGGTCAAGAGGTTATATAGTTTATGGAGACGCTTAGCTTCGAGATAAATTAAACCTCGAGACAGCAATGAAGTTTCCGTCGAGGTTTGTATACAATTTTATCTTCAATCCCTCAATTTCTGAGGCAAAAGATTTTAGGGTACAAAATAATAGTGTAAATTGACCTTAGAAAAAATCAACATTCACTTTTTTTTTTGTCAATGTCGTCAATTTTGACAAAAAAAAATAAACAGGAAAATCGGGACGGAATCGCATTTTCCCGTCCGTGACAGGCATATACATTGCCGACCTGAAAAAATGTAAAAGCACAGAAATGTGACACTGTCAAGATTTTGAAAAGTCTGTAATGTCAACATTACATATACGGTTGAAAATAAATTGTATATTACATGCGGAGGTGGAAAGTGTTTCAATATATGTGAACACTTTCCACCGAAATATGTACCTATACTATTTTATTTTGAACCATGAACTATTGAAAAAAATAAGGTAAAAATATGACAAAAATTAAATTTCGACTGACACTCTGACACCGACATTAATATCTTATGAAATTTCAACAATAAACACATGTGAAATCTACTTCTAAATACAAACATTGCACCCGGATTCGTGTTTAGGTGTGAGAGAACAATTTTTATTTACAATCATACATGTAATGTTGACTTTACTGACTTTTAAAAAGTTCGAAAATGTCACTTTTTTGACTTTTACTTTCGGCCCACGGGTCGAAAGTTTACTTTCGACCCGTGGGCCGAAAGTAAATGAAATTGTCAATTATTGTATTTTTTAGTTTTAATTCAAATAAAAATTTCAAAATTCGAATGATTGTAAATAAAATAGTATACATACCTCGGTGAAAAGTTTCATTACTGTCTCGAGATTTTAGTTAGACCTCGGCTGTGCCTCGGTCTAACTAAAATCTCTCGACAGTAATGAAACACTTTCCACCTCGGTATGTAATATACTATATCAGGCTAAAAGTGAGTTCTCCGGGCCGAAAGTGACAGGAGAACTATCACTTTCGGCCTGCTTTAAAGTAAACAAAAGTAAAGTAACATTTTCGAACCTTCAAACCAGTAAGAAATGCGGAAATTACATATATGGTTCAAGATAAAATTTATTTCCAACTCCATTTTTTGAAATACAATTGAACAAAATTAAAAAAAATAATGCATACTATCGTCCATAGGTTAGAATATATTAGAATTTTGTCAAAAACCCAATTTTTTATTATACAAATTCTTATGAAAACTGCCAGTAGGGGTCGCAGATTTCAATTTGTACCGTCCCTATTGAAAGAAAAAGGTCGTAGATTATGTGAAATGCAGTGTATGTGGGGTGGGGTTGTTTATTACCACGATAGTTGCGCAAAAAAGTGTGGTGCTTCTCGAGGCATTTTAGTGAAATGTTCGAATGGCTCTAAAAGCGAGATTAATGCTGCTCAATCATCCAACGAGGGCTCAAATAAAAAGGGAAATATGACTGATTTACTCCAAATGATAACAAAACTAGAGGAATCAGTGTCTTTTATTATTGAGAAATTTGATATTCTTGCTGCTGAGAATAAAAAGTTCCTGAAGGAGCTGAAAGAGGCCAGGGGGGAAAACGATCGATTGAACAGGAAGATCAACATCTTGGAAAAAAGAATTCAAGAATTTGAAACCAAGGGATAAGCCTGCAACTTTGAAATCATTGGAACCCAAATAAACAAGTGTTGTTATATTTATAACAATCGGCCTGGAAAATGAATTTCTGGGCCTTCGAAAAAGGCGAAAATTAGATTCCAGTATGCTACGCCATAATCGAGGCGCAAATACACACACAAAAATTTTTGTTAATGAAATGCTGATATTTGTAAATAGGAATCTGTTCAACATGGCATACAAACTTAAAAAACAAAAGGAATATAGGTATTGCTGGACCAAGGATGGCAAGGAATACTTGAAAAAAAAAAAGATGAATCCTCCGCCATTTATGTTTTGAATGAAGGTATTATAAAGAACCTAGAAAATGAGCAATGAAAATACCTTAGTGCAAATTCAGAACCAATTCGACTTATCTTACTGTGACAATTCGAGCAGTTTCAATATATCTAAATGCTCAATCAGTCAAAAACAAAATATGGGATTTGGAACAGTTAGTTGACAACCTCAATATGCCAGACGCCATATTATTCACTGAAACTTGGCTCGAAACAAGTGAGGAACAAAATTATATTATTGATGAATATAATCCAGCTTTTGTGAGTAGAACTAAGAGGTGGAGGTGTGAGGATCCTAAAAAAAGTAACTATTCTTTTATCCAGCAGTACTTTGAATACAGACTGTTCCATCTTGACAGTTTTGGTGAATAACTCAGTGACCTTGGGAGTTATCTATAGACTATCATTAAAAAGATTTTGTTGATTTACTTGACGATGTTCTTAATGCATAAACCAGAAACTTATATCTTAGCGGACTTCAATGTAGACTTCCTAAATTATAATACCCAGCAAAGACTATTTTATAATACCATTACATCAAATGGTTTTAAAATATTGAACAAATCTGTGCCTACAAGAATTACAGAGCACTCTCAAACTCTTATCGATAATGTGCTATCAAATACTGATACTCTCTCCACAAACATATCTATTGTTGACCATCTTATAAGTGACAAAAGAGTGCACCTCTTACAAACTAGAAGTAATCCAGCTAAGACCCAAAATTAATACTCAAGGACCATTCTAAATAAGTCTTAATTTAGAATGCAACTTGTTGATCTCAATAGTTATGAGTGGAATGACCCCAATACTTTGTGTGATGAAATAATCAGAATTTACTCAAATAACATCACAATAAAAACATTTAAAGACAGATTTCGCAAAAAAGTGCCCCTTGGTTTAACGTACACCTGCATGAACTAGCGCAGGTTAGAGGCTACCATTATAAAAGATCCAAAAAATTCCCAAACAGTGAATTTCTGCGTCAGGCTTACAAAACAGCTCAAAGCATCCTAAGACAGGAAGTGAATAATGTAAAAAAGTATATTTTTCTACACAACTTGAAGCTAATGGTGAAAGTAAAAAATGGATGGGAAACGACAATACCAGAGATCGAATATCAAAATAAGTCATATAAATATGACAAAGGTGTCTGCAATGCGCTCAATTGCTACTTCGCTGAGATTGGACAGTCCCTAGCGCAAAAAGTACACACTCACAGCCGCCACAATTAACTCCAGAAGAGTTCATTGTCATTTGGAAACCAGTCTCAAATAATGATATATCAGAGATTATTGATCGTATGAAAAGGGACGCCGCACCTGAAATCGATAGGTAATATCAGTATGAAGACTCTTAAACAATTCAAGAATGAATTCATCCCAATTTTATGCAGACTTGTTAATTCAACAATTACCACCACAAGCATACCAAATTCACTCAAGAGAGCGAAAATTGTACCACTTTTCAAAACTGGAAATACTGAAAAACCAAGCAACTATCGACCAATCTCTATCCTTTCCGCACTGTCCAAAATATTGGAAGCCTGTTTCAACGATCAACTTGTGCACTTCCTTGAATCTTCTAACGCCTTTTTCAAATAGTATGGTTTCAGGAACAACTCAAGTACAATTCCGGCAGCTACAGATATCTATGGTCTATTTTTTCCCAACATAGATTTTGATATTCTCAACTTTGAAACATAAACAATACCTCTTGGCTCTTTGGTCGCAAAATGAGGTGTTCCTGCAGGTTGACATCAGTTTTAAAATGCATACCGTGCAAATGGCATCTTGCGACCAATAAGCGGCATTGTTTTTGCTTCGAATTTGACAATGTCAAAATCTATCTTGGGAAAAAATAGACTGTAGTCACCTATATCTATTCAAGGGTAGACAAGGGTAATAGCTGTGTTTTTGTTCCACTTCAAAAGGCTTTTGATACTGTTGATCACAGTATATTAATTTAGAGCAGTATAGAGCAGTATTAGAGCAGAATGGCGTGACAGGAATGGCACTAGCTTGGTTGAGGGAATAATAAATGACTGTTAATAATGCACTAATCACTCCAGCTGAAGTCAGATGTGAAGTACCACAAGGATCTATCCTAGGACCGACTCTCTTCTTGGTGTACATAAACTCTCTAACAAAACTTGCTCTAAGATCTGCCATATATCTGTACGCCGACGACACCTGCCTGGTATACTCTGGAAGAGACCTGAACTTGGTTCAAGCAACCATAGAACAAGATCTAACAACCATTAATAAATGGCTATGTTTCCACAAACTCTCACTTAAGTCGAAAAAATGTAGCGATATGATTATTTCCAACAATGCTACTTGGCAAAACGTTACCCTAAATCTAGGCCAATTCAACTTCAAGAAAGAACTGTGTACTTGGTTTACTCATCGATTATAGGCTTACATGGGAACCTCACATATTCAAAGTCTGCAAAAAGACAGCATCCGCTGTAGGGATTTTTGGTAGAGTTGCCAGGTACATCAACACATCGCAACGTAAAATGATATATCATTCGCTGATTCACTCTCATTTATCATATCTCACTTTAATTTGGGGCAACACCTCAAACATCCATCTCAAACCCCTCATGGTTTTACAAAACAGAGCTATAAAGAAAATATTCCAGCTTCCATTGCTGCATCCAACGTCTAGCCTTTACAATCCTTATCACATCCTTAGTATAAAGTCCCTGTACATCTTTCAAATATTTACTTTCATCCACAACTGCTTGATATCAAATATTCACTCCAACCTTACTTTCACTCCAACAAATACAATCCACAACTATAGCACCAGACAAAGAAATACCCTAAGACCAGAAGCAATGAGAACAACTAGAGGACAAAGAAGTGTGTTTTCCAGGACCTTGCTTACCTCAACAGACTTCCTAAGGTACTCAGAGACTGCCCAAGAGTCGGTGCCTTCAAGAAGAAGTTAAAGTCTATACTATTTAATAATTTTTTTGAATAATCGAGGACTCAAATGTGTATTTTATATATGAATTCTGTATGTATGGATTGCCATTTTGGGGATGTTGCAGCCAGTATCTTTTTGAATCAGTGTTTAAACTACAAAAACGGGCAATCCGATTTATTGCTCGCGTTTCACCACGGGAACACTGTAGGCCACTATTTGTTAAGTATAGGATCCTCACTCTTCCATGTCTTTTTATTCTCGAGTCAGTAAGCCTTATTCATAAGAATATCTCTTGTTTTCCGGCACGCCAAACTACCCATCTGACGAGACAAAGTAATCATCTGTCGCTTCCTATTCCACATTCCTCTCTTGTACAGAACTCTATCATTTACAAGAGTGTAAAACTTTATAATCACCTTCCAGCAACTTTGAAGTTGTGAAGTGAAAAGTTAAAAATTATCTTACTTACCCAAGCATTCTATACTGTTAATGAATTTCTGGACTTGGTATTTTGAACGTAATAAATTTAACCAGCTTTTGCAGCCTAGAATTATCGTGGGCGGGGCACTTTGTCCTGGGTGTTTATTTTATTTTCCTATCAGAGCACTACTGTACTGTTTGTTCATGTTTTATCTTATTTCTTAATGTTTCTGTCAAGATCTGACCCCCTAGTTATTTAGTTATTATTGATTTTAATATTTTACAACAGTTTGTTGTTTGTTCTTGTATTGTTTCTTCTCTGTGTGACTTATCACTTGTTTATAGTTTTTTTAAACTCATTTATTAACTGTTAAAATTTAAAAATATGTATGTGTATTTACTGTGACAAGCATTATAGTTAGATGGTTTAGATTTTAGATTTAAGCATTAGCTTTGTCCATAATGATTATTGTATCTTTTGACAATAAAGCATGCTACTACTACTATAATATGTATTTTTATTTATTTATTTTTGTCTGTAAGGACTTTCACTATTATAATATATTAAATAGCTGTAAGCTCCAGGTCTAATAATAATTTAAGTAGCGACTTATTTATATATCTCTCTCTCTTTCCTATTCTTTTCTGGAAAAAAAAAATCTAAAGAAGTTATGCCAGGAGACCGAGCTGGCCAAAAACTGGACCGGGATTAGCAATTAACGTCTCTCTAAATGTATCATGCAAAAATTCCTGAACTTCTCGGGTAATATGAGCACGGCAAACGTCTTGTTGGAACCAATCCATACAGGGTTCTAATGATACCAATAACACAGATCCCAATAATGCCGCACCACACATTAAACCCGAAACGAACTTGCAACCTTGGCTGATCTCTCAATTTTGAATTTTCTGTTCACTAAAAGTGGAAATTGTGACGATTAAATACTCCACAATTACTAAATCTAGTCTCATTGGACCATACAACATAATTTGGAATAGCTGGATCTGCGTTGCGTTCATTAATGTACCAGTTACAAAACTCGAGCCTCCATCCTCCTTAGATAGTCATCTCCTCGAAGGCCCTGCACTAGATATTTTATGTTGCTTCAAGACTCTATGAATAGTCGACTTAGGTATGTGAAGTTTTCTACCAGCTACTCGGTTTGAAGATGTCGGATTTTCATTGAAATTTTCAATAACAGCATCACGCCTGAAGCGCAGTTCGATATGGTTTGGTTTCAACAAGACGGTTGCCCTGCTCATAATACCTAAGAAATTCAGGAATTTTTGCAAGAGAGACAATTGCTAATCGCGGTCCAGTTCCTTGGCCAGCTTGGTCTCCTGACATCACTCCTTTAGATTTTTATTGTTTTCATTTGTATTTATATATTAATAATTTACTTTCTTATACTAAATGTTCTGTAATGCGACGTTGCCAAGTTCATCAAAACATAGAAACGTTTTTTCTATGGCCAAAATTTATTATTTGGGTCAAGTGTATTATATCATTAATTTTGTATTTTTTTCACTCTATTTTACGGTATGAAAATCCAGTATGGCGGCTACAAGAAATATTGAAGTTGATGATGGTTCCAGAAAACCGAAACGTGCTAAAAAAAATCTAATCGCACATGTGTATTCTGAACAAAAAGTTGCTTTGAAAGTGTTTTCACAGATTTTCAAAAAATCAACTTTTCAGTTTTTTCTAAATATCTCAAAAATGTGAATAGCTAGACTCAATCTACAAATTCTATTGAACGTCTAACATAATTTTCTAAAACTTTTCCCATTTAACCTCCCTCGTATCTGTTATAGTTTCCTATATGCTAATACATGTATCACCAATTTGATACGCACTGTATACCAAAGGCCTAGCTAGGCGCATTGGGGTATCGTTCATACCAAAACCTAGAAAAATAGGAAAGGACACGGCGAAGTCCCTAAGACCCATTAGTCTTACATCATTTGAGCTTAAGACACTGGAAAAACTTATGAATAGGCACATTAGGGACGGTGTAGTCACACCACTACACTCAGACCAATATGCGTATCGGACAAGGATGTCAACAGAAACAGCGCTTCACCAGCTGGTCAGCATAGTGGAGACTACACTGGCAAACAAAGAGGTGATGCTGGGTTCCTTCTTGGCTATAGAGGGAGCTTTTGACAATAGTTCCTTCGATTCAATAACCAGATCTAACTGGGTGCTGTTTCATTATTGACTGACCTGTACAACCTCGTACAAGGCACAAAAATACTGGAGTGGTTGGAATAAACCACACAGGCTAAGTACAATAAGCCTTCTCAAGCTTTTGAGAAAATAAGTCGGAAAGGCCTGGAACAAGGAAAAAAAATCCATATTGACCAATCTTGTCGGTCGAAAAATAACCTCAGATCAGTTCACTCATGATTAACGACTCAAAGGAAAATCACTTACCCGGCTAAGCCGCTGCTCTCCATCTTATTAGCCAGTTCCACGTCTTTGGAATAAACGTCGAACTGCCACTGGCGCTGCCCTAAAACGCCGGCCAAAACTGCCCCCGTGTGAATTCCCACCCTCATGTCCACCGGAGAGTTGGCCGTTTGCTGAACGTATCTGAAAAGGAGATGGACGAGCGTGCACTTAAACTCCAAAAAAAATTACATAAAAGACCAACGTTTTAGGCTTAGTTCTAGTCCATGTTGGACTTATAAATGAATTTTGCTCTTTTGCAAAGGAATAAGAAATGAGGGATTTACATAGGCTTGATTTTTCAAATGTGGTTTTTGCTGGTTGGTAATAATATATGACCACTTTGACTTTGAAGCTAAACTCCAATATTTAATATCTTTATTTTTTTCATGAAAGTCTTATAATATCTAAAAGTCTATTCTCACAAGAGTCTCTGACAGTTTGCAAACTCTTGTGAGAATAGACCTAAATTCTACAGTTCATACATACTTGATTGCTTTTACCATAGACAATCCCATATGTACGCAAAGAACAGCATGATCCGGTCGTTCAATTGGTGCTCCGCTAATACAATAATAACAATCGCCCAAAATCTTAATTCTCAATTGCTGATATTTCTAAAATTAACATTCATTAATTATTACTGAAACTAATTAAAATTTCCCGTTGTTGTTACCTCAGCTAATTTGTCGAACCTGGCGAACAGTTCGTTGAGCATTTTGACTAATTCTTGAGCTGAATAGGTGGACGAAATGGCTGTAAATCCCACGATGTCGGCGTAAAGAATGCTGAAACAGAACAGAAAATTTCATCTTTTGTAATAGAATCCCATTGTTTCTGTGAACCAGTGAAACTTGGATTTTATGCTTAACGTTTTTATTGTCTTACTTATGTGAGGACAAAATAAGATGCAGGTTTTTATGTGGATTTTTTGAACGCTTGATTTAATATTTTCTCGTCACAGAACACGATGCTTTATGAAAATTTTATTTAATATAAAAATGTGTAGAACTAAGCCATGAATTTCAATTGCCCATCAACATGCTGAAATTGAGGCATCCCTGGCAGATTTCATTATTTTATGTAGGATTTATTAGAATGCCTTCAACAAATTTTCTGGTTCAATTTTTATAAATAGAAAATTTAATTTGTATTTACATTTTTTTATTGGTTTTATCATAAAAGCTGTAATTTTCAATATTCGAATACTTTGTGCGTCCAACATAATTTCACAATTTCATTGAATACGATACATAGGTATTTTATTATTACATATTTTGAATGTTATCCCTATTTATTAAGTTTTTCTTGAAAATTCAAAAACAATTTTAATCTTATAAATGGGTGGCATTTTAGAAGGATTGACTAATCGAGAACAAGAAGAGAAAGAGGGCTTTAAGAAATTTTTTTTTGGTTTAAACTATTTCATAAAAATTTATGAAACATTATTGGACAGTTAACAGGATGAGAACCATCCATGTGAATGCATATTCAAGTAAAAAGAAATGTTCAAATCCCCTCTTGGTCGCGTTAAAAATGCATAAATCAAAAAACAAGGATTTTTTTTATCTAAAACGAGCATCGCCTTTGAAAAAGCTCCAATAAATAAATCACTCTTTTTTTTTCATTTTTTGCGGACGACCTAAATACGCTACTGGTCGTAATTTCTACGGATCTGCATATTTTCACCTGGCGCAAACGAATTTCAGAGGAAAATAGACTGGGGGTTAGAAAACATAATCCAATTAAGTCAATTTTTGTTTGGAAAAAGTCTTACTCTATAATTTTTATTCGAGTTCGAAATAAATTCTGGATAGCTCTACGTATGTCGGAATTATCTTTAGGATTCTGGGGAAGTCTTTTCTTGAAGTAGCTATGGCCTATATGGCAAATGATGGCTCTCCAAGAAAAATTTCCAGTTGAGATCACACCACCTGTGAAAGTTAATGTTAGAGAGAGCAAGAATGATCATGAGCCATTTTCTCTCCAACTTTCGTAGATCTTTTCAAAAACATGCAGCAACATATTGCAGACATAATAAATTGCAGTGACTGTTTTAAAACGACAAATAATAATTAAGCTCACCTGACGTTTTCGTGTCGGCTCATGTAAATTTTCTTGAACTGACTGTCTGCCTGGTCTAAATCTTGTCTCATTTGCACTGCAACGTGCTCGGGCAAAACGGAAAGTAACAAACGTTCCTGAAAAGAAAAAAAAATACCATTTTTCAATAGAAGTTTAATTTACCTGCTGCTAAATTCAAATATCTATTCATGCGGAATAAAAACCGAGCAATAATTATTTTCAGTTGAAATAGTAAATTGCACTTTTGTCTGGATATTCTTCAAGTAATTATAGCAATCAAAACTATGTTCCTTGCGAGTGCGCATATCCGTAAAAAAAAAAAAAAAAATGTTAAATTTCAGTTTTATATAGTTAATTAATTACTAAATTGTTGCCCATTCTTTTGTGTCAGCAAAATTGCCTCAATAATTCATCGCTGGCTCTCGGCAGCTTCATTAAACCTCCTTTATAGTCTTCGAATATTTAATCACCTTCAATTTTAGGATTAAAGCTCGAGTTTAGAGATTAAATTTTTTATCGGTGACTTTTTTTGGAACCCAATCACTTAGGATTAGCTCTGGCAATCCTATAAAGGGTTGCAGATTTAATGGAATTAAATAATAAATGGCTACAGTTAAATAATCTGGTTTTCGATTTTTTGCTTTATTGATTGGTAAAAATGCCTTATAGAAATATAATAGACTCCACAATAAGCTTATAAGTATATTGGATTCCGGAAAATAAATTGCTTTTATCAATTATTATTGTGACTTAGATTTAATTGATTTCCACTCAATAGCTGTGACATTTCTTTTATCTCAAAGCTGGCAATTCGAAGATCAATTATTTCACAAAGCTTCTTGCTTTCATCCCCTAAGCTTAACAAGCAGATTGTTACAAAAACGACCCTCCGCAACCATGGTTTCCAGTCAGCGATTCCCCTTTCATCCCTCGGGCAGACATTCTGAAGGATCAATTTGGTTCGAAAACCAGGAAGAATTGTTTAGGCACGTTCGTTTGGATATTCCAGAAAATTTTCATATAAACTGTGACTATGAGTCTAATATTATTCATAATTATATGTTTTTTTTCCCCAGTAGCTAATAAAAAAGTCTCTTGGCAAAAAAGAATCCACATTGCGATATTTAATATAAGGATTCTTTCAATTTACACATATGTAGAGATATGACTCACATTTGATCATAAAATATTTTATAGGTTTCTCATACATTACTTTCTTTTTCCTTGGAAACTCCATAAATAAACTCAGGTTTCCTTGAAATAAACTCTCATTTACTCTAAAAACATTGCCAATCATTTCAACAATAAACTGCCATCAGTTTCGGGAAGTTTAGCTAATTGAAATCAACAATATTAGTTCAAGTTACTGAGACATTTTGTTGGCATAAAGCAAAATTTAATCTCGTTAAAGATTCTCATTTAAAAATTTTCAGCTCTGATGGATTTATTGATTCTAAATAGCTCTAGGACGGTCAAAGATATAAGTGAAAACTCAGTTAACTAACCCAATAACAAGGAATTGCATTAAAAGAACAAAACCTTTAGTTATAAAAACCATTTTCAAAGTCTATAATATGTATTTAGCGTTATGTGCTGAGTGACATAGAAATTGCAACACCCAGTAAATGAAATAGTTATTTACATTACAAGTGCGTTCATGAACAATAACGAGTGTGAAAGATTAGAACGACGAGGTCGTAGACCGAGTCGTTCTAATCACACGAGTTCTGTAGTCATGTTTAAACGCACGTATGATGTACAATGTTTTATCTACAAAGCAAAAAATAAGAATGTTTTTTTTCAGTTATTTTCTTTTGTTAGTAGATGTCTACTTTCATTTCACCTTTACAGTTTTAACTTTGGCATTTGTCAAATCACCAAAAATAGTTGTGTTAATGGGTACATTCAGGCGGTCCCAGCGGCTAAGCTCAGCCACTCAACAGGGACTCTATTCTCGATACCAAGGAACAGCGTTCTCATAAGAACGATTGCTCTGTCATTGTCGTCCTGACAAAGACAGAACCTTTGTTCCAATTAGAACGCTACTCCCCTGTTTCGAGAATGAAGTTCCCGCTGAGACCGCCTGAATGTACCCATAGATTCATAACCCAGTTAAACACCACTTGTCGGCAAGAATAAAACATTGATTTAGGAACTTTATACTATTAAACTCATTTTGATTTTGAGAGAAAAAACCACGCAACAAAATTCTTCTCGTGTTTTATTTTCTATTTTAACAAAAAAAAAGAGCGTTGAAATAACAACATGGTCCTTCGAATCGAGCCAGATAACTAGTAGTGTCAAAAATAAGTATTCAAAAGCTGAAAAATCAGTGTGATTGAGGAAATATTAACAAATAATACATAATTATTTGCCAAAACTTTCCCTTAAACCCGTGGTGAAGCGGGCGACGAGTGTTACCAGTCTACCAGTGTAATAGTGGAGGCAGATAAGCGACAGTACGACCAATACTGTCTGTGAGCGATTTGATGATGCCTTTGGCGCAAACAATAATAGAGAACGTGAGTCCTCTCCTTGATATTTTTATATTTATTCCGTGAATCCTGAATGGCTTTTATTTTGTTTTATTGTAAAAATAAAAATGTCCGATTTGGGTGTGCTGAAAAGGAAGCGCGGTGTTATTAGAAGCCAGCAAACTTTCTTTAAAAAATATCTTGCAGGATTTATTAGAAATTTAACAAGTTCAGATTTAGTAAATATTGAAAAGGAAAATATTTTGGAATTAGACAGTAGATATTAAAATTATTTTGGATTTTGATTAATTCAAGCAAATGATGACAGTGCTTCGAGCATACAGTCTGGAAGTCAAGCCAATCAATCACCTCAAATTAATAATACTGGGACTTTGGGCCTAAAATTACCTTCAATAAATTTGCAAAAGTTTACAGGTGACTACAAAAATTGGCTCGAGTTTCGAGACTTATTTGACTCATTAATAAGTTCGAATTCGAGTATTTCTAACATCCAAAAGTTCCATTATTTGAGGGCATCGCTTGAGAGAGGCGCGGCGCAGGTATAAGGAGCATTGAGGTAAGTGGTGACAATTATGCTTTAGCATGGAAAACATTGTGTGATAGATTCCAAAATAAAGGAATTCTTGTGCAAAATCACGTCAAATCCTTGTTTGAATTGCCTGATATCTTCAGAGAGTGCTAGCTGAAGGTTCTAACCGATGATATTTCTAAACATCTATCTTCTTTAAAAACTTTAGGACAACCCTGTGACTCTGGGGATACTTTACTTATCCATATTTTGAGTAGCAAACTAGACAAAATAATATTTCGTGAGTGGCAACAGAAAAAGGCTAGTGGGGCCAATGAGTTGCCAACCTTTTCAGAATTTAGCAGCTTTCTCAAGAGCAGAGCGGATTTTTTTGAAAATTTGGAGTTGTCTAAAGACAAAACTAAAGATAAACCTTTTCCCAAATTGCCTTTTCATCCCTCCAAGGCTAGTCGTTCATTTGGTATTCAAGAACAGTCTTGTAACATGTGTGAGGCCAGTGGTAAGGCGTTTTAAATACATGTCCTGAATTTTTTAGTTGAGTGTGAATGATAGAATTGGAAAAGTGAAAATTTGGAGAGTGTGCTTTAATTGTTTAAAGGATAGTCATTCTTACAGTAGTTGTAATAGTAACGTTTGTCACAAGTGTAAACTAAAGCACAATACGTTACTGCATTATCGGAAAACTCCAGCTTCTAGTGGCGATGGTAGAAACGAGCAGCTGAACAATGAAAATGATTCCAGTGAAAATTTAAACATGGCAAGTGGGTGTGGCAGTGACTTTTCTCGGGATTTATCACAAACAGCTTTGATGCAGGTGGTCGATGCCAAAGGGGTTTCTCAAGTGTGTAGAGCTTTATTGGATGCAGGCAGCCAGAGCAATTTTATAACAAGTGAATGTTGTAAAAGGCTGGGTTTAGATACATTTTAGCTACCTTCTGTAGTAACAGGAGTAGGACAAGCAGTGACTGAATTGAAATATAGGTGCAAGGTGGTGATGCAGACAATAAAAAATCCCTTTGAAGCTGATCTTTCGTGTCTTGTGATTTAAAAAATAAGTGGCAAATACCCATCTTTTAATGTGGTTGAAAACCTGGCAGATCCCTGAACACCACAATCCGAGTTTTTATAGTCCTGGTGACATTGACGTTGTCATTGGCGGTAGTCTGTATCTGAATTTATTTTTCCTACGACCACATACGAAAATGACAAAATCCGCACTAGTTGGTTCTTTGGAAAGCGCTTAATATCACACGCGTGCTAAAAGTAGTTTCAATACGCGTACTGAAAGTACTTTCAGCACACGTGTGGAAAATACTGTTGACATTATTTGTGATTGACATTGACAGTTTACTTTCAATACGTGGGTTGAAAGTACTCTCAGCAAGTATGTTGAAAATGAGAAGAAATAAAATAGGAAAAAATTGGTGTAAATTGGTTTCTGATCATAGGAAAAATGGTGGTACATCACTTGTGAGAAAGCGTCTTTCATACACTCGTATTATTTTCGCACTCGGCTACCGCCTCGCGCGAAAAAACACTCTTGTGAAATTTGTCACTTTCTACACTCGTAATGTAATATACTATTGTATAGGTCAGATCCGATTGGGTGATGGACTACCAACGTTGCAAAAGACTCGACTGGGTTGGATTATTGGTGGTGAGTGGAAGTCAGGTTCTCATGAGCCGACCTTTAGGCGTAATCTTTCACAAGATTTGGATATTCAAGGCCAGTTAGCTTTTGGGAAGTAGAGAAGGTCATGAATTCAGAAAAACTTTTGTCGTCTGAGGAAAAGGAGTGTAAACATGTGTTTTCAACAACTACGAGTCGGCATGTGAATGGGCGCTTTGTAGTTCACATGCCATTTAAGAAGCCTCTAAGTGTTTTGGGTGAATCTAGGCAAACAGCTGAGAGAAGGTGTTTATCATTAGAGTCCAAGTTGATGAAGAATCCTGTGTTACGAGAAAGTTACATTTCCTTTATGACTGAGTACCGAGAGCTAGGACATATGATAGAAGTTAAGCCTTGTGAAATTGATGTGAGTTCATCTTTTTGCTTTCCCCATTTTGCAGTATGTAATCAGCAAAGTCCAACCACAAAGTTGAGGGTTGTGTTTGATGGTTCGGCGGCATCTGATAGTGATGAGTCATTGAATTGCATTCAGTATGTTGGACCAACATGGCAGGAGGATTTATTGCAACTTATATTGAGATTTCGACAGCATAATGTGGTGGTATGTGCTGACATCGTGAAGATGTATCGGCAAATTCTGGTTCATTCAAGTCAGTGGCCATTGCATCGAATTATCTAGAGATCTGACCCTTCCCATGCTTTAAAGGTATATGAATTAAGAACAGTGACTTATGGCACGTCATCTCCGCTGCGCGTCGTTCGACAAACTGCAATCGCGTGCGGAAAAGTGGTACTTTTTGCACTAGTTAAGAAATATACTATTACATTTACTGGGTGTTGTAATTTCTATGTCACATAGTATATACCTAACGCCAATGCGTTGCATTCAGATGGTTGCTATAATTAGTTTATTCACATTCACCTGTTAGCATTATTGATAAGCTGCCATGACTTTTAAAAATCTCTCCGCTTTTGTAGGCACAAATTATATTCCTAAATAATTGAAGTTAAGAATTAAACTTTAGCTTCAAATCATATCTGTATTACCTAAAGCCTTTGAAGATCCCTGCACTTCACATCATAGGTATTTATAAAACCATGATATAAATACTAAAAATTGAACAAATATGTATTTATTCCAGGTATTTTAACTTTTGAAACTACAAATCCATCAGGATCTTTCAATTAACATCAAATAAGGTAAAAAGAAATAATAATCGAACATGTATTGATTTTTGGACGTCAGAGTTGAAATGTCGTCAAGAAAATTTAGAACTTGTAATAATTATAAGTGATTGGAATGAGTCAAGTTAAATTTACTTTAAAATATTGAGATATTATTCTATGTTCCACTTTATTATGTAAGTATTAAGTGAGTTTACACATTAGCTTGATTGAATAGGCTTTTATCAATTGTTTGTCTGAAAAATTTAGTCCAAACATTATATATCCGACGTTTATAGTACAATTAAACAAACCAAACAAGAAATAAGGATCATCTACCCAAGTTCAAATTAATTTGGTTATAATTTGCAAACCTACACCGGGTCAAGGGGCAATAATTCTAAACTAGACCCTCATCACTATTAGTCAAATTTCCATTGTAAAGCAGAAATTAATATTTTAGACATATTTTAAAACAGCACATTCTTACCTGCTCTGCACTTTGTTCCTCGATAACAAGCTTAACTTCTAACGATTGTCTGGTTTCAAGAAAGGCCCTTCTTTGCTGCTTATCTTCTACCAAATAAGAAGTGAGTCCAATTATGTTCGATGTCACCAATAGGATTATGTTTGAGGCGTGCTGCAATCAATAAAAAGAGTTATATATTGAAAGGCCGGCCTATTAAATTATATACAAAGAAGCGGACTGGCAATTTAGAAAATTTTACGGCTCCATAAAAGTGGTTTTATTAGCTTCTTGCTGCTCTTTTCCGCAATATGTAGCCACTGAAACTGATATAACTAATATGTGGGTGGATAGTAAATCTTTCTTGACCTTTTATTTATAATTCGCATTTCTATATTACTTTATTACATTTTTTGAATTTATAGGCATTTGCTAATTGTAACTGTATATTTCCTGCTGAAAACTTTAGAGAAAATGCTTGATAAGTGGATTAAGGGAGAGGTGCCTTAAGACGAATCCCCTTAGTACTCATCAATATATGAAAGTCCACAGTCCTGGCTTTTGGCAACTTGGAAGCTAATATAGCCGGCTCTCTGGAACGTAAGAGCATTGCAGACTCGTGGCTTTCTTGACATAAAGGGAGATTTTAAAACTCTCCCTATGAAACATCAAAATCTAGAGGCATTTCCACCTTCATCAGATGATGGGGGAAATATAAGCTCGGAGTGAGTCACAATAGACCGCAGTAGAAGGGTCGACAACTGACAACTCACCAAAAAACCTACGTGTATAACGTTTTCACTTTCTTGATATTTTCAGTCATGAGCGGCTCATTCAAAAAGTAACTCAAACATAAACATATCCAAAAAAGTCTCATTCGTTTACCACAATTTCATCGGAAATGATTGAAGTTTATTTGTGAGACGTTCAACAATAATCCCCCTTTGCCGCAAGAAAATAATTCTCACGCTCCAAGCTCACATCTGGCGCCATTCGAAGTAATTTTCTTTACGTAACTCGTAATAAATTCATGCGACAAAGAGAGGATCGCAACTTTAATTTGAAGTTTTCGAGATAAATAATTCAATCGGAGTCTGATTTGAAGCTACATTAATTTCTACGATGGAGGTAAATATAGGTGCAAGTGCAAGTGGTTTTCTAAAACCGCACGTGCCCCCTAGCAGAATATCGATTCAATTTTATTTGAGATTCGTGACAATTGCGGCACGTGTGCGATCAATTTAATTCAAAAATAAATTGATACGATGAAAACCAATTTAAATTTATTAAGTTTGAATCTATTTCAGGTTCCGCTGTTCTATAGTTCCGCTTTGCTTTAATTAAATTAATCACTTGTTGGAACGGCAAAAAGGAAACTGCCAAAACACTCAACGGAAAAAAAAAACCGTGGCGAGTATAAAATTAAAATTCAATCAATAGGGCCGTGGAAACTTAATTGGCCGATATTTTAATTAGGATCGCTCGAATTGTTGTGCGTTGATTAAAATTGAACTTTATTTTAAGGTTAAGGTTGTTTTTTTTTTTTTAGAATCGATCATCAACATTTCACTTCAGACAAGGTATTTTCCGAACAACATCGGTTATCTTCTCGTTTCAAGACTTCTCTCTTCTAAAGACTTTTGGAACCAAAGACGCTGATTCGCTAGTTGAGAAGATTAAGAATATCGGACTCAAGAGCGGAAAAATCTCTGAGGCCGAGAAAAAAAGGCTCACGAAGTTTAGTGCTCTTCGATCAGAGTCTCAGACGCCAAAAAAAGACACCGGAGCTAAGAAGTCCAGAAATTTTCCATTAGGTACACAGACTGACTCCTATAGAGACGCGGCTAAAGGAATCCGGCTCACAGTAATAATTCACAGACGTCACCCGGACATTACACTAGATCAGAGCCAAGCTGACCTGATCCAAAACGCTGTAGTAGAGGCGATATTTGCTATACCCTCAAGTAGCAGCAGCAACCCACCGCAGTTCAACAAGACATCGTTCAGCGCAGGAATCCTATGGATGTCCGGTCCCAACCAGGAGACAGCAGACTGACAGGAGAAGCTGAGGATCTCCCAGCAAGACCAAGATTCCTCGTTTTCGTGCCAAAGACAGAAGCGACCTCAGTAGATGTCATCAAGACCCATCTTGGGATACAAAATCCAGGCCTAAAGATGGGAGAATGGCTCCTGCTGAGCCGGAAAATAGAGAAGGAAGGACAGCTCCTGGCCTTCTTTATGGATAAGAACTCGTCCAAGACCCTGGAGAGAACCCAGTTTAAAGGATAATATGAACTGGGACGCGTGACCTTCAGGACCATCGGAAAGAGGAAGGATGGCGATCAAGGTAATTCAGATCAACCTCCAGCACAGTAAGGCAGCCTCGGCGGTCCTTCCTGCTGCTATGGGGGAAGTAGATATTGCCCTGGTTCAGGATCCTTGGATTAGACACGGTGAAATTAAAGGACTGAGCAGTGCCAATGGAGAGCTGATCTACAGCAGATCCACTGTTACTCCTCGGACCTGTATATACATTGAAAAGAACGTCAATGTACTTCCCCTGACTCTTTTTTGTTCTAGAGATTTGATGGCAACCAGAATCAGGCTCATCGGGGGCAACGAGCCGAGGAATATTAATGTCGGACCGGCCTACTCACCCTACGATGACCCTGAATCAACACCAACCAGAAGTGTGGAGGACCTAGTGAGACACTATAAGACGAATGGGACACAGCTGCTCATCGGGTGTGATGCGAATGCTCACCACACAGTCTGGGGAAGTACAAACATCACCAATAGAAGTGAGTCTCTACTACAGTATATTATAGCAAACAATTTAGATATAGTAAATGTAGGAAATAAACCTACCTTTGTTAATTCAACTAGGAAGGAGGTAATCGACACTAGCTTCAAATCATATGAGTAATTACGTCAGAAACAGGTCTATAAACCTAGTAGTCCGAAGGTGGAAAAAAACTTCGGGAACTATATAATAATTAGGTGCTTTTTAGGTGCTAATTAGGGCCTCTATTTAAAAATTAGGTGCTCCTTTAGTTTTTGAGAAAATCAAAAAATAACTAAGAGACTGCTAGGTTTATAAAAGCTAGCAGTCCCCTATAGTAAAAAATATTTTTTCAAATTTTTTCTTTGTATGAGAATTAGTTGCTTTTAGGTGCTGCTAAATAGTCCTAGAAAAAATAGAATTGATTGATTATTAACTGAGTTACAGATTTTAATTCTCAATTAGAGGCCCTAATTAGCACCTAAAAATCACCTAATTATTATACAGGGTGTCCCAGGGAAAACGGTCCACCCCGATTTATTAGATTTGGGATGAGAATCTGGAAAAACGCTCGGACACGTCGATTTGTGATTCGAGGGGGAACTATTTTTCAGTTTTTTTCATCCCCGTAGCTTCAACCTCCTAGCTAGGGGGAGAAGAACCCCCCGAATTTGAATAGGGGATAGGGGTCGTGTTATGTCTCTTTTCAAAGGTCTTATGGAGTTCTTCATGACTCCAGAATTTAATTTCATTATTTTCATCCGTGGTGTACACGAGAATTGTAAATTGTAGGTATTTTTACTCGTATTTTTATTGAGGAACGTAAGTACCGCTTTTACTCCTACTAAAACAATAGTCTATTTCTAAGATTTTGACAAGCTGTCATTCCGTTACGGATGAAAATAATAAGATGAAATTCCAAGACCATAAGGAACTCGATGAGATCTTTAAAAAGAGGTATGACACGACCCCTATCCCCTATTCAAATTTGGGGGGCTACTCTCCCCCTACCTAGGGGGTTGAAGCTACGGGGATGAAACAAACGGAAAAATAGTTCCCCCTCAAATCAAACATCGACGTGTCCCAGTGTTTTTCCAGATTCTCATCCCAAATCCAATAAATCGGGGTGGACTGTTTTCCCTGGGACACCCTGTATAGATCCCGAAGTTTTTTTGCCATTCTGACACACCAACAAGTAGACGTAAAGCCAGCAGTCCCCTAATAATTAAAAAAAAATCTGTAACTCAGTTAATAATTATTCAATTCTATTTTTTCTTCGACTATTTAAGAGCACCTAAAAAGCACCTAATTCTGATACAAAAGAAAATTTTAGAAACATATTTTTCACTATAGGGGACTACTAGCTTTCATAAACCTAGCAATCCCTTAGTTTTTTTTGATTTTCTCAAAAACTAGAGGAGCACCTAATTTTTAATTGGAGGCCCTAATTAGCACCTAAAAAGCACCTAATTATTATATAGATCCCGAAGTTTTTTTGGAAATAGTTATTTTCCTAACAAGTGCGCAAAGTGTTACTTTTCCGCACGCAAACACAGTTATACGAACGACGCGAAGCGGAGTTCGGATACGTGTTTGCGTGCGGAAAAGACACTTTGCGCACGTGTTAGGAACAATTTTTTTCCTACGAGCTTCATATCAGGTAGGTAATAACAGAAATTAAAAAAAAAAACGATAATTTGTTTAATTATTTTTATTTAACTTGAAGGGAACCTATGCATTTATCAAAAAATTACATAACAAAAAAAAAAATAACAGAAAATCCTCGTCAGAGCTGTTCATCTTAAAGCGTCTAAATTTGATGAGAAAGTTTGTAGATTTTTGCATATAAATAGAGAACAAATCTGACAATGTGTCAAAGTTAATTTATATTTGGTGTTTGTATAGATGTTGGCTGATATAGAAACAGAGGAAAAATTTGTCATCATGTGTCAAAGACAGGTGCACTTATTGTTGCTTGACAATTATAATTACTTTTCGGCACTCAGTGCGGATAAGGCCTGTATCCGCACTGAGTGCGGAAAAGTAGAACTTTGAGCCCGGAAATGCGTGCGGAAAAGTACTACTTTGCGCACGCTCGTAGGAAAAATATTTTTCCTACGAGCGTGCGCAAAGTAGTACTTTTCCGCACGCATTTCGGTTCTCAAAGTTGCACTTTTCCGCACTCAGTGCGGATACAGGCCTTATCCGCACTGAGTGCCGAAAAGTAAAAATAATTGTCAAGCAACAATAAGTACACCTGTCGACTTTGACACATGATGACAAATTTTTCCTCTGTTCCTGTTCCAGCTAACATCTATACCTACAAACACCAAATTTAATTAACTTCAACACATTGTCAGATTTGTTTTCTATATATATGCATCTACAAACT